AGTACTGTCACATATAATTACATATGATTACATAATTTTGTATTTTCAAAACATCATACTTTAACCGTTTCGAATTGTAAGCGACTGGTTCTGCTGCTTCACTTTTCAGTCCAGCCGACTTCATCACAAACGAAGGACTCTGAAAGGTTGCTCTTCTCAAAACATTGCACTTAAACATTAAGTAGTAGTAGTAGTAGTCTCCTTAGACCTTTCGTTGAAAATCTGTGCCGATATGACATTGCACCTCACTTGGTTGACACTCATTTTTGTACCATCCAGGGCCCCGTTCCACAAAGCTCTTGTAAGTCTAAGATCTCGTAACTTTCCTCGTAGCATTCCTACCTCATATACTGTAACATTGACTTACGATAGTCGTAGCGCTACGAGAGCTTTGTGAAACGAGTCCCTGCAGTAATCCAGAATCAAAGGTGACAATTAGGTTATGTCTAATATCCTTGGTTCGTTTACGAAAACTGTATTGTCGACTAAGGAACAGATATTTGAATATTCTCTTCTGTTTCCTTACATATTGTTATTTAACTCTCAGTTAAAAAAATTACGCCACACAACACGTGCCCAACGATAGCTTACAAACAGGAGTAGGTGTATTATCTATCCAGGGAATACTGAGTGCTGCTTTGAGGACTGTGATGCGTCAACAAACGGAGTTCACTGTGCCCCAGACATTTATGGAGCGCTTCATTTTCTCGAATGTTCACATTCTGTGCTTGTTTGCTTTGAGGACTGTGATGCGTCAACAAACGGAGTTCACTGTGCCCCACACATTTATGGAGCGCTTCATTTTCTCGAATGTTCACATTCTGTGCTTGTTTGCTTTGAGGACTGTGATGCGTCAACAAACGGAGTTCACTGTGCCCCAGACATTTATGGAGCGCTTCATTTTCTCGAATGTTCACATTCTGTGCTTGTTTGCTTTGAGGACTGTGATGTGTCAACAAACGGAGTTCACTGTGCCGCAGACATTTATGGAGCGCTTCATTTTCTCGAATGTTCACATTCTGTGCTTGTTTGCTTTGAGGACTGTGATGCGTCAACAAACGGAATTCACTGTGCCCCCAGACATTTATGGAGCGCTTCATTTTCTCGAATGTTCACATTCTGTGCTTGTTTGCTTTGAGGACTGTGATGCGTCAACAAACGGAGTTCACTGTGCCCCAGACATTTATGGAGCGCTTCATTTTCTCGAATGTTCACATTCTGTGCTTGTTTGCTTTGAGGGACTGTGATGCGTCAACAAACGGAGTTCACTGTGCCCCAGACATTTATGGAGCGCTTCATTTTCTCGAATGTTCACATTCTGTGCTTGTTTGCTTTGAGGACTGTGATGCGTCAACAAACGGAGTTCACTGTGCCCCAGACATTTATGGAGCGCTTCATTTTCTCGAATGTTCACATTCTGTGCTTGTTTGCTTTGAGGACTGTGATGCGTCAACAAACGGAGTTCACTGTGCCCCAGACATTTATGGAGCGCTTCATTTTCTCGAATGTTCACATTCTGTGCTTGTTTGCTTTGAGGACTGTGATGCGTCAACAAACGGAGTTCAATGTGCCCCAGACATTTATGGAGCGCTTCATTTTTCTCGAATGTTCACATTCTGTGCTTGTTTGCTTTGAGGACTGTGATGCGTCAACAAACGGAGTTCACTGTGCCCCAGACATTTATGGAGCGCTTCATTTTTTCTCGAATGTTCACATTCTGTGCTTGTTTGCTTTGAGGACTGTGATGCGTCAACAAACGGAGTTCACTGTGCCCCAGACATTTATGGAGCGCTTCATTTTCTCGAATGTTCACATTCTGTGCTTGTTTGCTTTGAGGACTGTGATGCGTCAACAAACGGAGTTCACTGTGCCCCAGACATTTATGGAGCGCTTCATTTTCTCGAATGTTCACATTCTGTGCTTGTTTGCTTTGAGGACTGTGATGCGTCAACAAACGGAGTTCAATGTGCCCCAGACATTTATGGAGCGCTTCATTTTCTCGAATGTTCACATTCTGTGCTTGTTTGCTTTGAGGACTGTGATGCGTCAACAAACGGAGTTCACTGTGCCCCAGACATTTATGGAGCGCTTCATTTTCTCGAATGTTCACATTCTGTGCTTGTTTGCTTTGAGGACTGTGATGCGTCAACAAACGGAGTTCACTGTGCCCCAGACATTTATGGAGCGCTTCATTTTCTCGAATGTTCACATTCTGTGCTTGTTTGTTTTGTTTGTTGTTTAACGCCGCAATAACCTTCATCAGTGAGTCAGTTTAGTTTTACGCCGCGCTCAGCAATATTCCAGCTATATGGCGGCGGTCTGTAAATAATCGAATTTGCACCAGACAATCTAGTCATAAACAGCATGACTGACTGACTGACTGAGTTTGGTTTTACGCCGTTTTTAGCAATATTCAAGCAACATCACGGCGAGGGACACCAGAAATGGGCTTCACACAATGTACCCATGTGGGGATTCGAACCCGGGTCTTCGGCGTGACGAGCCAACGCTTTAACCACTAGGCTACCCCACCGCCCCCATAAACAGCATGAGCATCGATCTACACAATTGGGATATCCCATTCTGTAGGCTTGCTGACTGACTTTTAGTAATGTCTGTAATAGTCGCTTGACATAAGTGTAGGTGATCACCGGAATCTTGCCTACACCATAACTGTGCCATATGGACTGGATATTCATTAATCTTAATATTAAGTAGGTTCGATTCCCCACATGGGTACAAGGGGCGGTGGGGTAGCCTAGTGGTTATGGCGTTCGCTCGTCGCGCCGAAGGCCCGGGTTCCATTCCCCACATGGGTAGAAGGGGCGGTGGGGTAGCCTAGTGGTCATGGCGTTCGCTCGTCGCGCCGAACGCCCTGGGTTCGATTCCCCACATGGGTACAAGGGGCGGTGGGGTAGTCTAGTGGTTATGGCGTTCGCTCGTCGCGCCGAAGGCCCGGGTTCGATTCCCCACATGGGTACAAGGGGCGGTGGGGTAGCCTAGTGGTGGTTAAAGCGGGGCGATTCGCTCGTCGCGCCGAAGGCCCGGGTTCGATTCCCGTCACGCCGAAGGGTACCCCACACGGGTACAAGGGGTGGTGGGGTAGCCTAGTGGTCATGGCGTTCGCTCGTCGCGCCGAAGGCCCGGGTTCGATTCCCCACATGGGTACAAGGGGCGATGGGGTAGTCTAGTGGTTATGGCGTTCGCTCGTCGCGCCGAAGGCCCGGGTTCGATTCCCCACATGGGTACTATATGTGAAGCCCCTTTCTGGTGTCCCCTGTCGTGATGTTGCTGGAATATTGCTAAAAGCGGCGTTAAACCATACTCACTCACTCACTCACTCACTCACATGGGTACAATGTGTGAAGCCCATTTCTGGTGTCCCCCCATTGTTGAAATATTCCTAAAGCGGCGTAAAACTATACTTATTCACTTATCATTTGGTAAGATATATGTTACACTAGATTAGCGATGATGTCGATTGACTTGTACATTCGTCAACGTACCCGTACGTGATCCGGGTTAGAATTGGTCTTCAGCAACCCATGCCTGTCGTAAGAGGTGACTAACGGGTTTGGGTGGGCGGAGTCACTGATTTCCTTAATACATGACATCGTATTCCCAATGCGTAGATCGATGCTCATGTTGTTGATCACTGGATTGTCTGGTCCTGACTCGATTATTTTCAGACCAGGGGCCGTATTGTACTGCCAGTACATCTCTTCTTAACCTAAAATCTCCCAAGCGACGCATACGAGCGGCCATGTTTGTCAAGCTAAGAAAATTCTTAACTAGTTAGGAGTACCATAGGGGCACTCCTAAATATGTGTTATACTTAGGAGTAATTCTAAGAGTACAAAGTTTTATAAATGTGACTTAAGAAATTCTTAACACTTAAGTGTAAATATAATGGAATTCTAAGAACTTTATTGATTTAAGAATTCTTACCAATTCTAAGAATTTTTATAAATACGGCCCCAGGTGCAGCTTGTATGAACAGTTTACCATCAATCACTTATTCACATTTTCATCGCACACCCATACCATGCATAAGTATTTGTGTGTGTGTGTGTCTCTAGGAAACTTTCGGAACACCTGCGTAGTTTGGACTGTCTCATGTTTTTGAGAACAGTATCCTAATTTCTGCAAATGCTGTTCGCCATTAAGGGGATGAAACAAGGACTACTTTCGGGGAAAGTCCAATGCGCCGGACATAGGTATAACTTCGGAATCGTATCTCAGGATCAGTGAGCAAAGACTGAAAAATGGCGTAAGTCAACAAAGCACACGCACGTACTTCCACGGCGCTATGTGAGTAAAAGATCCTAAAAAAGGTGTCAAATTCCCTTTTACGTCATATAAGTGGGATATGAGTCATTGCTTCTATTAAAAATTAAGTTGACTTGACTAAAATACATAAGACCTATACATATAAACAGGCAAAATAATGTACACAGTCATAGTGGTCAAGAGGGAAACAAACTAGACACGGTTATCTTATGGTGAATTTATTCAATAAAAGCACCGTCGTCGTATACTTTATATTACCACAAATTTGGTGCTATTAAAAGGGAGTGGCGTACCAAGTATTCAATAAAAGCCCCGTTGTTGTATTTGGACCTAACTTTATATCACACAAATTGCTGCTATTAGGAGGGAGTGGCGTACCAAGTATTCACGCCAAATTGATGTTCGTATCTCAAGCCAAGAACGTCACACAGTTGAAACCTTAAATAAACTTGTAACGCAATATAAACATTCACAGTCACATATTCTTAAGCGGAGAGTCGAACAGCTGAAAGGATCGGCACGTGCAAAGCTTCTTAAGTTTCTGATGTACATGTAATAACGCGTAGTGTTGTGAAGAGTGTCGTTCAAGTATGCATCCTCACACCTGAAAGTTTGGACTATACACTTACACAGATAGAGCTTGTCAAAGACTGGACTAGCATGAACCTGACAGGACGGCCCTCCTCGTTCAGCGCTGATTTACACTTACAATGGCTTCCAAGCAAGAGAATGGGATTCGGGACGTGACACGGGAAAGTATGCAAACAATGCTTATGATCGTTAATAATGACTTAAAGTATAATGATTTAAGGAAACAGACTGAAGTTTAAAGGATTTTGAACATTTGTACGCTTTAGCCCTACACTATAGTTTTTGTTTAACATTTCGGCAAACATGCTTTAAAGACACTATAAGTGTTTAGGGGGAGGTGGGGTAGCCTAGTGGTTAAAGCGTTGGCTCGTCACGCCGAAGACCCGGGTTCGATTCCCCACATGGGCACAATGTGTGAAGCCCATTTCTGGTTTCCCCGGCGTGATATTGCTGGAATATTGCTAAAAGCGGCGTAAAAACCATACTCTCTCACTCACTATAAGTGTTTAGTCAATAGCACTAAAGAAACAGTTGGGGACCCATTGCAGTGTTTGGTTTGGCGTCGGCCTGTGAATAATCGAGTCTGGACCAGACAATCCAGTGATCAGTAGCATGGTCCAGATTCAATGGTTTGCAGACCGCCGCCATTTAGCTGGAATATTGCTGAGTGTAGCGTTAAACAACAAACAAACACAAATATTTAACATCGAAGAAAATGTATAATGAAATTAAGATGAATGATACTAGAAATGTGAGTTTCATTAGTCCATTTAGTCAGTCATACCCATTGCCACTGGTCAAGAATGTTGGTCAGACGGTATATTAAGGTCACCACGAGTAATGAAAGCGTCATGACCTTCATTGAGGTTACCAGGAGTAATGGAAGCGACAATAAATTCATTAAGATCACCACGTGTAATACATGCAACAAAACCATTCCATATTCTTAAGACATATCTGCAAAATGAATTTTAAAAACGACTCTCCCCTTTTCACAATCACGTATGTGAATCGCCATCAAATAAAGATGATAACAGATAGTTCGCGGAAGGGTTAGCGCGTCATGCCGCACGATGGCATCCCTCACAAACGCAAAGGCACTGAACAAACAAGGGTACTAGAATTAAACGGACAAACATTTACAGTGGCAAGCATTTTGGTTGCTGCTAGGCCAATTTTGGACATTTGCATCATGTGGCATGTGGCTACGATCAAACCAGGGGCGGTGGGGTACCCTAATGGTTAAAGCGTCCGCTCGTCGCGCTGAAGACCCGGGTTCGATTTCCCATATCGGTTCAATGTGTGAAGCCCATTTCTGGTGTCCCCCGCCGTGATATTGCCTGAAAGCGGCGTAAAACCATACTCACTCACTCACTCACTCACTATCAAACCACACCCTGTTCAAATCTCCGTATCATTATGCACCCTCAGCTGCCATTTTAGTTGAACAATGTTCGTTGTTTAACAGCGCTGTAAGTAATACCCCCAACCAATATGACGTCGATAGGTAAATAATCGCGTTTAGATCAGAAAACCCAGTGACTATCGACAGACAGACAGACAGATATTTTATTCAGTATAAAGGCCAAAGGCCCATAATACAAAATATATTGGTTGAAATAAGCGCACATAAAAGTGACAGGTTTATGTTTTCACAGTTGCAGCTATGATCATTATCATTATGATAGGATAGCATGACATGCGCAAAATGTCAGCGAGCCTGACCACCCGATCCCGTTAGTCGCCTCCTACAACAAGCATGGGTTGCTGAAGACCAATACTAACCCGGATGTTCACGGGTCGAGCTTTGTAGTGTATTCAAATTTGTAAAACGGTAATTTTAGTTTGTCATAGCTTTCTTCAGTATTGCTATAATTATGTGCTCATCAAAGAGTCAAGAATGTTTTGCATTTTCTTATGAACAAACTTATGACAATGCTTATCCCTTTCGATATTACCTTGAGTCGTTACTGATTGTCAGTGATGAAATCATATTATGTTCATGTTATGATGCCTAACACACTAAACGGAAAATCCCTCTTTGAAACATTGGCACTGGTTATTCTCTAGTATTGACTATTATTACCCACGAGGTCAGCGTATGGGTAGTTGCATACTGATCTCGTACGTCACACGAGTGTCGTGTCGCGTTGACCTGTGTCGTAACGACTTGACCTGAGATTTTAACGATTTGATTGGATAACCGATGACATCTCAATTAGGTCACATTCTGACGTAACTATTTTTTCATTCATACCAAACACGCGAATTCATTCATTCTACAACTTAAAAATGCATTGTGGTAATGTAAACATTGCGAACGTTGCCGTGTCGCTGTTTAATTGTGAGTCGAACTGAGACATTATATCCGTCGAAAAACATAAACGCAATGTTTCCACCAGTGATGTTAGCCCAATGAAGCAACTGCAAACCAAGAAACGGGGTGCTACGGAGTAGTTTACTGTAGGAGGCTGTACGAGGCGATGACAATTGACATGCATCGTGACGCCGGTTACCAAGACAGTGACGTCATGCAAATATTGTACTGCAGTACAAAACTCTTCTGAAACCTCTTTATGAAACCGGTTTCGGTTTGAAACCAAAATATTAACAAAAATACATTTTTTGTCAATTTCATGCACGTAAGACGTGGGTAATACATAAAATACCACTCTCGGTCTCATTACATACGAATTATACGAAAGCGAGGTCAGATACAATAGTAAGGACACTCGTTTCGTATAATTCGTATGTAATGAGACCTCGTGTAGTATTCTCTATATATTTATCACACAGTCAGAAAAAAAGGATTATTAGAGTTTATGATCACACATGTACATGCACTTATTCATACGCTAGTTGGATACCAGTTCACATCAGCCGTGACATTAACATCCTCATTAACTCTGTGCTGTATTTCTACAGACGGTTTTCACTGTCCTTGTTAATTAAACATGTGTCCCTGCATAAATATATACGTGTAACTCATGTATACATGTCTCGAAACTAGGTGGACCTTTCTTCAGTTGTGTTCTTTACCATACAGAAAGACCTGGAATCACATTCTGGATATCAATAAACTAAATATACGTTAGTCACTCTTACTTATATTTCCAGTGTTTGCTGTTATGTTTATATGCCATTTTCTAAAGCTATTTGCTATCTCGTCGGGTTAATCGATGCATTTGATTAGCCTGGATTGACTAAACATAGAAAGTCAGCGCAACCAATACCCAGTCTTGACTGTCCTCAGTAACAAATTCCGTTTGGTGTAAAGGGAAAATAGCTGTGAACTTTATACGAATGGATCAATGGAAATCAGTGATGTCAACAACTGTTCGCGAAAAGGGTGAGCATGTCTTGCCCTACCGGTAGCAGACGCCATTCACAAAATGTGCCTAAGATGGAAGTATTGTTTGCCAAGAAGCTGCACAGAGTTCTCCGCCTGTAGACAAACCTGACAATGAAGTTAACGAACGCGCAGGGTGATATTTAAAATATATATATTTGTGCAATTTATTATTTAGAAATACACATTACTTAACAAATAATTGTAATTCATCCTTACACTATGCGAGTTGATAATGGCAAAAAATAATTCTTCACAAAAAGAAGATTTAAAAATTATATTTATGCAATTTATTATTTCGAAATACACATAATGTCAAAAATACTTGTAATTCAGCCTTATACTAGCTAGTTGATAATGGCAAAACTATTTTTTTCACAAAAAGAAGATTTAAAAATACATATTTATGCAATTTATTATTTCGAAATACACATAATGTCAAAAATACTTGTAATTCATCCTTACACTATGCGAGTTGATAATGGTAAAAAATAATTCTTCACAAAAAGAAGATTTAAAAATTATATTTATGCAATTTATTATTTCGAAATACACATAATGTCAAAAATACTTGTAATTCAGCCTTATACTAGCTAGTTGATAATGGCAAAACTATTTTTTTCACAAAAAGAAGATTTAAAAATATATATTTATGCAATTTATTATTTCGAAATACACATAATGTCAAAAATACTTGTAATTCATCCTTACACTATGCGAGTTGATAATGGTAAAAAATAATTCTTCACAAAAAGAAGATTTAAAAATTATATTTATGCAATTTATTATTTCGAAATACACATAATGTCAAAAAAAACTTGTAATTCAGCCTTATACTAGCTAGTTGATAATGGCAAAACTATTTTTTTCACAAAAAGAAGATTTAAAAATATATATTTATGCAATTTATTATTTCGAAATACACATAATGTCAAAAATACTTGTAATTCATCCTTACACTATGCGAGTTGATAATGGTAAAAAATAATTCTTCACAAAAAGAAGATTTAAAAATTATATTTATGCAATTTATTATTTCGAAATACACATAATGTCAAAAAAAACTTGTAATTCAGCCTTATACTAGCTAGTTGATAATGGCAAAAATATTTTTTTCACAAAAAGAAGATTTAAAATATATATATTTGTGCAATTTATTATTTCGAAATACACATAATGTCAAAAATACTTGTAATTCAGCCTTATACTAGCTAGTTGATAATGGTAAAAAATAATTCTTCACAAAAAGAAGATTTAAAAATATATATTTATGCAATTTATTATTTCGAAATACACATAATGTCAAAAATACTTGTAATTCATCCTTACACTATGCGAGTTGATAATGGTAAAAAATAATTCTTCACAAAAAGAAGATTTAAAAATTATATTTATGCAATTTATTATTTCGAAATACACATAATGTCAAAAATATTTGTAACTCAGCCTTATACTAGCTAGTTGATAATGGCAAAAATATTTTTTCCACAAAAAGAAGATTTAAAAATATATATTTATGCAATCTATTATTTCGAAATACACATAATGTCAAAAATACTTGTAATTCATCCTTACACTATGCGAGTTGACAATGGCAAAAAATAATTCTTCACAAAAAGAAACCGTATCTTGGGACATTTCTGTGAAACAAGGGATGTACTGTCATGCGTGGTTTAGTAGGTTGAGTATGTTACAAAAGATCACAAATTACAATATGAATGGTGACGCGGCAACGTCAAATTCCAAAACCATGGCCACCCAATCCAATAAGGAACCTCCTAAGACACGCACTGGTTGCTGTGGACCAAGTATAACAAGAATCCCAATTGGTCAACCCATGCTTGTCGTAAGAGGCGACTAACGGGATGGGATTGTGATGCTTGCTGAGTTGTTTGACACTGTTTGATCACTGGGTTGCTTGGTCCAGACTCGGTTATTTACAGGCCGCCGCCATATAGCTGGAATATTGCTGAGTGCGACATTAAACGACAAACAAGCAAACAAAACCAGTTGGTCACCAAGTGGGACCTCCAGGGGAAACATCTTGATAGTTTCAAGTCAAATTAACTTCGTTACTTGCTACAAACTTACTGTATGTATGATGCATTTCAGACGGTCCTCAAGACCATGCCAAAAACTCCAAAAGGACTCCCCTGCCCTTCCGCCAGAAAGTTTCGTCCTGGCGATGGATGACGGCCATGATTGTCTGGTTCGGGTTCATCACCAGTACCCTCATGCGTAACTCGTTCAACATGGCGCTGGTGTGCATGACAGGAAGTACACCCCGACCCCGAGAGGGAGAGAACATAACCCAACAGTCGATGTACACCACGAACATCACATCAAACACATCAAATGAATCGGTGAATGGCTTTTATTATTTCAATGTATTGAACAAAAAACAATTCAAAACCTGTTCATCATAAATTCATTATTGCATTTTGCAAAATTGCAAAAAGGAAACAAGAAAGATGGTAAATGTTGTTTCTGCTGATATATGTATCCAAATTAATAAAAACATTGACAAATCACTTGGCTACTTTACAGAAGGAGACATGCCCATTTCAAAAAGCTTCCTTGTCCTTAAATATATTCTTGATTGACGTTGAAGAAAGTCCTACGTGGAATCATCTAAATTATATACATCTACTAAGTGTTTCAATGTATTCCCATTCCATATAGATGGACGTTTGGTAACGATGTGGGACGATGATGTCTCAGGCCGTCTTGGCACTTTTCTAAGCTTTCCCTGCACCGCTTAAAATGCAAATCCACCTCTTAGCTAACATTGGGTGGTGGGGTAGCATAGTGGTTAAAGCGTTCGCTCGTCACGCCGAAGACCCGCTTTCGATTTCCCACATGGGTACAATGTGTCACCCGCCATGATATTGCTGGAATGTTGCTAAAAGCGGCGTAAAACTAAACTCACTCACTCACCTAGTTAACATAGCTGAGGGCATCTTTCCCTGTTGCTATAGCTGTATCTTCTGTCGGGTTGTTGGTGCTTTGCAAATACCCGATCACTGCATCCTGCACAAGGTAGTCTGTTAGGTCACAGACACTTACATTTATTAACCTCAGAAACAATTTTCACAAATGAGCCATGCTTTGTGGATGTTTTGTAGCATCATTTAATGTCCATAATAAAAACTCTCATGAGCACGCTAATTCCTTCTATTTGGGGCTCCGAATTGTCTAGCCAACCACAGTGAACTACCGTTCTATGTATATTAGTGATACAATGTTTAATGTTTCATGTACCCATGGTTTGTCTCCTTGACGACTGGGAGTGGTGGGGAACCCAAGTATGGGATTCCCCATATGGGTACAATGTGTGAAACCCATTTCTGGTGTCCTCCGTCGTGATATTGCTGGAATATTGCTACAGATGACGCAAAACTATACTCTATACTGAGCTATATCAATACTGACATGACTCTTCGTTCTTTGCCACAGATCCCACCCCCAGGCGAGTTCGACTGGGATGAATCCACCCAGGGCATCATCCTCTCATCCGTCCTATACTTTGGCTTCTTGGCTCCCGCCATCAGTGGCTTCATTTCCAAGAAATTCGGCGCCAAGAGAGTTGTGGGAATCAGCATGACTATCAGTTCGGTGATGAACCTTCTCACCCCCTTCGGTGCCCGAGGTCACATGTACCTGCTCATTGGCATGCGGGTCATCATTGGCTGCTTTTCGGTATACTGATTTATGATTGGTTCTTACTTTTGATCTCTTTCACGGATTGAGGTAAATGAATTGGTGTGGCTATGAAACTACGCTAAAACTTTGCTGCAGTGATGAAACTACGCTAAAACTTTGCTGCAGTGATGAAACTACGCTAAAACTTTGCTGCAGTGATGAAACTACAATAAAGTAGAATCCGAAGAAATTAATCATTCACTTTTTCAACTCAAATGCGACCACGCCTTCCATAAACCCTATGTAACGGTTTCATCCAGCAATGATCGTTTTGTGGAACGCGTCCCTTGTTCATAAGTTTATAGAGATATTACCATATTTAGAGAGATATCTAATCATAGCCAATAACGTTCTGGATTAGATACAGTTATTCTGATAGTAATGAGAATATTTATAGATATCCTGCTCAAAGCGCACACTCTTATCATTATTACCCCGGATAACCCAAGCCTACTGTTAGGCGCTAGAAGGTTAATTGTCTCACGACTTATTTTATCGGGTACCCATTTCTTGCTGGATGAACACAGGCGAATTTTGAACAAACTCACTTGCCTCGGGTGAAATGACATGTATCATATGTGCTTTGTTGTGGGGCAGCACTGAAGTCCAGAAACTCTCAGGAGTCAAGCTGTCACACACGGTCACCCATCTAAGGAGTCTCCGCGCCCAACGTTGCTTAACTTCAACTGATTGTGAACTCAACGCTATGCAGAGGACCACACGCCAAGACCCAATGAATTCAAAATGCATATTTTAGTCTAAATAATATAAACGAATTTCTTGTCCACGATATTGTTTATTTCTAAATCGACATCATTCGAGTTTGAGTCCACGTCTCAGTGACATTACTTTACACAATAAGTATATCAAGTAATGGAAAATACACACACACTGGTATTGGTTAGGACAAGTTGGTTAGGGATCTTGCTGGAGACACTTTGTGTGTTACAGGGAACGATTCTGCCGGCTACCCAGGAGCTGTGGGGTCACTGGGCCCCTGACCAGGAGAAGGTGCAGCTTGTGTCCTGGACATTGTCCGGTAAGGAAAATACCAATTCAGGCCATGAAGCCTTGATTCCAGAAGCACCCGCTCCACCTATTGCAGTCACTGATTATCATTTAACGGGTTTCTCAAGTGCATGTCACTTGGCTTTTCAAATCCGGTTATTTCTAGGTTCCAATTGCAGCATACACAGGTACAAGTATGACAACCCGTGAAGGTCCGGGTTAAAATATTGATCTTCAGTAACCCATGCTTGTCGTAAGAGGCGACTAACGGGATCGGGTTGTCAGGCTTGCTGACTTTGTTGACACATGTCATCGGTTCCCACTTGCGCAGATCGATGCTCATGTTGTTGATCACTGAATTGTCTGGTCCAGAATCGATTATTTACAGACCGCCGCCATATAGCGGGAATATTGCTGAGTGCGTCGTGAAACTCAACTCACTCACTCACACTCACCAGTATGACACGATTAAAATCAGAGTTGCCTGGTTCATACCTTCTGGATAGTGCTGATTATGGCACAAAAAGAATAACTCATGCACTACCCTGACAACTGGTTACATTACTAACCTGGCAACTTGTAATACTAATATTATGACAATTGGTTACATTAATACCCAGACAAGTAGTAACACTCCTATACTGACAACTAGTAACAATAATACCTCCACAACTAGTTACCCTCATGCACTGACAACAAGTTTCACTCCTACTCTTACAGCTAGTTACACTGCTACCCTGATAACTACTTATATTAATACCCAGAAAGCTAGTAACACTATTATAATATACCTTGACGACGAGTTACACTAATACCCTGGCACTTAGTGACACTTATACCTCGACAACCTTTTGTACTAATACCCTGATAACTAGTTATCTGTTTCAGGCGTCAACATAGGGAGTCTGGTGTCCTCCCTTATTTCCGGGTTCCTCTGCACTATCCCAATAGACAATGGATGGCCTTTCGTCTTCTATGTGTTTGGTAATGCCCGCACTAAGTACACAATAACTAAAATCAGTTTAAAGGTTACACTGATATAATAAAATATCATGCATAATGGATAATGTACAGATTATGAATGGAAGACGATACCTGGATTTATACATTGAAGATAATCCACTTCATCGTTCATAATACTCATATGCATATATCATCATCTAATGAAGGGTGTTATCAGTGCAATAAAGCAATCTGATAAACTTGGTATCCAAATCTGATAACTATGCAAATTACGTAATTCCACGAACTACTTTCGCAAAACTCCATACACTCCATGCGAATCCTAAAACGTTTTAACATTTCATTGACGACGTCGTCGCGAGTTTACATTGTTTGTAAACAAACATGGCTGCCCCCAATCCCAAAATTGGTGATTCTGTAAGAATTGATGACAGAGGTTCTGTAGTCGTTACTGCCAAAGACTCGCATAATACAATTTTTATTCCTAATATATGATATTAATGATATATATATATATATATAATGCTCCGAATAATATCTACGATGAGTAACAGTAATGCGTTCATAACTGATTAAACATGCAGCAGTTGTAATAGCTAAATACATTGGGACGATCTTTACAATTCTTTGAAGCGAAGTTCTGCTTACGCTGGGATGTTGCGTAAAACCTCATTCACTCGCCCTCCTCTTTCTTCTCCACACCTATTCCCACTATCTTTCTCTCACCCATGTGTTCCAGGAGGTGTCAGCTTGTTGTGGTGCTTGGTGTGGTGGCTGGTGGTCTACGACACTCCTGCCGAACACAAGTGGATCTCGGACACCGAAAAGAAGTATATCAAAGATAATATCAGAACGGTGCCAGATAAGGTAATGACTCAAGTATAGTCGAACATCCTTGTCTCGAAGTTAAATGATTGAACCTTAGCTTATTGGTTGTGATGATTTTTATCCTTCCACACTTAAGGGTTATAACGAACCCACAGTGGCCATAAAATAGTGTATGTCGTTATAATTGTAGATGGTTATGGGAATTTCAGCTAAACTATACAGCAGTTCGTTATATACGTTAGTTTTTTATTTAAACGTTATTGTGACCAGTGAAGATGCAGGTTAGAATTGGTCTTCAGCAACCCATGCTTGTAAGAGGCGACTAACGGGATCAGGTGGTCAGGCTCGCTGTCTTTTTTGACACATGTCATCGCATCCCAATTGTGTAAATCGATGTTCATGTTGTTGATCACTGGATTGCATTGTGACGTAATATTAAATCAGCAACAAACAACCAATCATTTGCCGATGTCGTTATGAATGTACTACATCTTGCAAACAGAGCACATTCATCCCGTATAAAAGCCTGATAACATCAGTTCCTCTGTGGGCGTTCATCTGTATCCAAACAGTACACATGTGGTGTGCAACCATCTTCTTCACGTACCTTCCCAAGTACATGAGAGATGTCCTCCGGTTCCCCATAGAACAAGTAAGTATGTTGGACATAAAGTCGAAGTCTAATTCTTTCAGCGACCATTTCAGTATAGAAGTTTGACACCAGTAACGACAGATTTGGGAAATGGGTTGGGTGATCTGAGGTAAAATGGGCTTAACGTTGCGTTCAAGGTCATTCCTGTTCTATGGCGACGTTCGTGGGTGTGTGAGAGAGACAAATGGATAAATGTGCATGCGTGCGTACGTGCGCGCGTGCGACGTGTGTGTGTCACCATTGACTGTGTTCATAGTTAACTTATTAATTTCAATCCCAAATTCCATCCATCAAAACAATGATCGTCAGACAGCCTTCCATTGGCACATGGAAGTTTCTTTCGAGTTTCGAGAGAATTGCGACTCAAATTCGCATTCAGTATCATTGTACTGATATAGTGATGTGGGTGCCGGTGTGTTTCTTAGTGTGTGTCTTTTTAATGTGCGTGCGTGTGTGCGTGTGTGCGAGCGTGTTTTCGGAAGAGATGTCGGTGAAATTGTGATATGCTCTCTTTTACTTATGTTTCGCCTGCGTTTCATTCATTCATTTACTTGCCAGAGCATCACACGACGACATTGCATCAAATAGCTAGAATATAACTGTCTTACTCACAATATTACACACAACGGCAGGGAATTCTGTGACTGTTGGACTCATTGAGATGCTTTCCCCCCAGAATGCCATCGTTTCCTCTGTGCCCTTCGCATCGAGGTTTATGGGAGTCATCTTCTGGGGCTTCGTGTCTGACAAGATGTCAGAACGGAATATAAGCACCACGGTCAACAGGAAAACCATCCAATCAGTTGGTATGACACTTCCGGTCTTTATATTCAATATGTAAAAGAAGATATAACAACTTTGAATCTTGTATTGAGATGAACATTGACCTTTATGATCTCCTCACTCACTGACATGAACTGGTCAGTGTTTGGATAATATGTCTCCAGGAAACGCCCATCGGTGACTATACTCTCGTGTTCCTCTTCAGGATTTCTGTCGTGTGCTGTTATCACTGTGGGTATTGGTTACATCGGCGAAGATAAGAAAGTAACCGGCGTGATCCTGTTTGTTATCACCATGTTTTTCCAGTCTTGCACCTTTGCCGCATCCTCCATAGTCCCACTTGATATGGCACCCAGGTAGGTATTCAGTCGACACTCCCAGGCAACAGTGTGTTCGCGTCTACCCGTATCACCTTGTATCATCATCATTTGACCACGATAAACTCACGTACACGAGGCTGGCCGTTCACAATCATTTTATGAGAGATTGAAATTCGGGTTGAAAAATTATTAGTTAAATGTGACGTAAGAAGCAAATGACGTCACATCACACATTATGACGTCATGAAGTGCGTACATAACAGTCACCCGACTTGACCCCAACAGAATCCTATGACGAGTCAGTTATGACGTATACACATATTTGTTTCCATTATTGACAATATCCGCTGTTAGTTATTTGATGACTGACATTTGAAAGATAACTACATGTTACGAATTCATGTAGATATTTTATTTCAATTACAGATTAGCGAGCGTTATCACGGGTATGTTTGTCGGGGTGGGAGCCTTTGTGTCGATATTTGCTCCCATAACCGTGTCCAGTTTGACACCTGATGTAAGTATTGTTATCCGGAACCGACAAGCTAACATCACACGTTCTGGTCATTTTAATATCGTAACATGCAACGTTTGATTTAGTCCTTATTAAAGTAGATGAGAAAACCCAAAATGCCTTCTTTGTATATATTAACGTAGATGAGGAAAGCCCAGAAGCGTTCCATGTCCTTAAGAAAGTATATTAGAATCCCGAAATGCATCATTTGTATTCTTCAAGTTGATGAGAAAACCCCAACTGCATTCTTTGTCCTGATGAAAGTAGATGAGAAAACCCAAAATGCATTCATTGTCCTGATGAAAGTAGATGAGAAAACCCAAAATGCATTTTTGTCCTGTTGAAAGTAGATGAGAAAACTCAAAATGCATTTTTGTCCTGATGAAAGCATTCTTTGTCCTGTTGATGATGAAAACCCAAAATGCATTTTTTGTCCTGATGAAAGTGATGAGAAAACCCAAAATGCATTTTTTGATGAAAGTAGATGAGAAAACCCAAAATGCATTTTTGTCCTGTGAAAGTCCCAAAATGCATTTTTGTCCTGATGAAAGTAGATGAGAAAACCCAAAATGCATTTTTGTCCTGATGAAAGTAGTAGATGAGAAAACCCAAAATGCATTTTTTGTCCTGATGAAAGTAGATGAGAAAACCCAAAATGCATTTTTGATGAAAATGAGAAACCCAAAATGCATTTTTGTCCTGATGAAAGTAGATGAGAAAACCCAAAATGCATTTTTGTCCTGATGAAAGTAGATGAGAAAACCCAAAATGCATTTTTGTCCTGTTGAAAGTAGATGAGAAAACCCAAAATGCATTTTTGTCCTGATGAAAGTAGATGAGAAAACCCCAAATGCATTCTTTGTATCGTAGACGAGAAAAACTAAAATGCATCATTTGTCCTTAGTGAAGTAGAAGAGACAACCCCAAATGCATTAAACTCCACTTCACTTCGACTTTTCCAATGACAATCACATCTTTATTGAAAAATGTTAACATGGAATACAATAATTCAACTTGAACCGATGATCATAATGTACGTTTTATTGCATTCAGGGTACCCTGGATCAGTGGCGATCTGTGTTCTTCATGATAATTGGGTGCTATGTTGTCGGAGTAACAGTTTTTGACGTATTTGGAAGTGCCGAGTTGCAGCCCTGGGGAAAGAGCCTTTCTGTTGACATAATAAAGCCGCCAGAGGGAGCACCAGACAAACGGAACCCGGATGGTGCAGCAAACGAAATTGTCGGTCAAGACGCCATAAAAAAAGGGCCGGCAAGAATTCTCATTGAGCGACAAGTTAGCGTTATTTCAACCCATTCTTTGAGAAGCATCCATTCGAACGCATCTGCTATCCTTGCTCCTGTTGTGGTGAAGTCGGCGTATTTCTTGGACGATGACAATGACGAAGACGATGACGTGTTTGTCAATGAGGTTAACCACAGAAACACAGACATCAAGGACGGGAGTGTTAATTTCGGGTATATTGGTGACGTGAACACCGAGGAGGAGAACACCCGTCTGTAAGGTGTCCTCCCGGTTCACCTAATCATTTCCCGTTTTGTACCGAGAACTAATTAGGTGATATGTTATGCCTGGGTGGTTCGGGGTGATCTGGGTATGGTTGAGTCCTTAAATTATGTTCAGGTGGATGTAAGTAAGTGTGCCAATTTCATCATTAGAATATATGAACGACAAACTCAGATTGAATGACATATAGATTAACAAATGGTTTATTATATACATGGATAAATAAACAAACATAGTTGGATGGATAAATGTCAAACAAATATGATACAAAATTTATACTTTATTTACTAATGTACATAATTTACAAAACAAGAATCAAGATTTATTTCTTAGTCACCAAGGAGATGTGATATACTGTCCATATACTCCATGAGATCCAGACTGCAGCTGATTAGACTGTCTCAGTCTGTTGTCGACAATGTATATATTTCCTCTTTCTTCGTGGTTCATGCTGTCCATGGTGCTGGGCGAGGTGTCATCATTGTAGCGCCATGCAAGGCCAAGATGCTGAATTTGTCTCCTTGGAGACTGGGCGTTGTGGAAGAAGCAGGCACGCACCCTGAGTTACGGAACCTTATTCCAAATGTGCCCCATGGTCTAATGATGACCTCAACACATTGTCACTTGTGCCCCATGTCTAATGATGGCTCGATTCTCTGTCGTTTCCGATCTTGTCTCCTGATGGCCCGACCCTCTGTCGTTTGTGCCCCACTGTCTAATGATGGCCCAAGACTCTGTTGTTTGGACCACTTGTCTTTTCATGGCCCAACACTCAGTCCTTTGTGTCCCTTGTCTAATGATGGCCCGACTCTCTGTCGCTCGTGTCCCTTGTGTTATGATGGCCCGATTCTCTGTCGCTTGTGTCGCTTGTCTTATGATGGCCTGACTCTCTGTCGTTTGTGTCCCTTGTCGTATGATGGCCCAAGACTCTGTTGTTTGGACCACTTGTCTTATCATGGCCCAACACTCAGTCGTTTGTGTCCCTTGTCTAATGATGGCCCGACACTCTGTCGTTTGTCCCTTGTCTTATGATGGCCTGACTCTCTGTCGTTTGTGTCCCTTGTCGGATGATGGCCCAATACTCTGTCGTTTGTGCCCTTGTCTAATGATGGCCTAACACTCTGTAGTTTGTGTCCAACTACGAACCAATTGCCCCCTCTACACTCTGCCACTTGTCCCCTTATACTAGTCTAATGTCGTCAACACTCTGGCAATACATGTAGTTTGTACAGTTTACTGACGACCTCAACATCTTGTCAGTTGTGCTCTGTAGCCCAGTTATGATATCATTGTATGTCCATTTGCTTTGGAATCTTGTTGTAGTAATGCATGTTCAAAACATTGTATGTTTTACAATCAAAGGTCTACAGCGGCCCCCTTTTGTCTAAGCAATGTTACATTCATCCAGACAGTTGTGAAGTTACAAGGAACACCAAACTACGATCGTTATATTTTTATTGTTGAATCCTGGAAGGGACATTGCCGCGTTGTCGCATTGTCGTCCTTTCAAGCACAAACTGGCAAAATTAACCATAGAGCGATGATGCGACAACGCGACAATGTCCCTTCTAGGATTCCATACTTAATGTACACCCGTGCATCAATTAAGCACCACCCTATTTTGAAAATAAGATGTGGTGCTACAGACAAGTTAGGGTGTAGCCATCAATTTAATCAACCTGTAGTTAAAGATGCTTTATCCATTGACAGTTTTACAAATACCATAACCTTTAAAAACAAAATCTATTCTTTATGAAAGAATATGTTGATGAAAACATGTAGGGACTGGATTTTTACCCAAAATAACTATTCCTCTCTTGCTCAAACTACACAATTTGATTAAGTTTTGTCTAAGAATAACAATTCTGTTATATACCAAGATGACATTTACACATCAAGTAAGCTTTAATTATGCATAATCAGGAAGAACCCGAATGACAAAGATTCAGACCTGTTTCCAACAATTCAGATTGCTAATTCACCAAAACTCAAAAAGGCCACATTAATAAGATTTTTGAATAAATCTTTTATGATTTTGAGTTTATTGTATTGAATAAACACTTCTCCTTGCCGGATAATGATAATTACAGCTAAAATATGTTTGTTTTGTTTGTAAAGGAACTTTTACTGCATTTTAAAATTTTACTTTTTTTTAAATTTGACTGTAACTTTTCCTAAATCTCAGTTTACTTAGTTTTACTTTCATCAATTCACAATAAATAACGCACTTATAGGCCACACAACAATCAATTATTATTACTGTCACTTTTCAATAAAAGGTAACTTGTTTTAGGACAGAACAAAACCTGTTTTAAATATAGGCTATTATCATAATTAAGGTACATGGTAATTTTAATGATGTTTTCTTTTTTGAAATGTTAAATGCTGTTGTAGTTATGGAGGATATTTTTGGAAATACTTTAGAATTTCATTTCAGACAAAATATTGGTAAAAATACAGGGTGGTGCCCATTTTCTGCACGGATGTATATTTTACAAGGAGAGTGGCAAGACAAGTAATGAAATTTATATTCACATACATATAGATAAAACTTACCTCGTCGCTTCCATATATGTGATCTTGTACATTTCTGTGTGAATGTATACACGGATGGGCAATGGTTGGAATTCTGTTTAAATTAGAATCATGCTGTTAAAGTATCGTTTAATTTATATGAATATTTCTAGCGCTTCTAGAAATTGTTTCCACATACATGAAGTATATTTGAACCTGATCGACGTAACAATCAGTTCGACACAACAGAGAATGAGAAACTAGGTGAACAAATTGGTATCAGCATTAGTATTTCCTAATCAATAATATTGATTTAATGTTTACACCCATGAATATGTGCCAAAATATTTCAAATAAAATATTAGAATATTAGTTATGAATTTGTTATTCTTTAGATATGCAATCCGCATTTCCGGGATGAAAATTATTTTGTGCTTAGGAGCTAAGCTTCCTTTACGGCATCAATTTGATCATCCTCGTACCTTGACCATGCATTCAATAAAAACCATACTGATATTTTGGCAAGAGTCGTGTGTTTGTAGATTGTAAATAGCAGGAACATTGGTGACAGTTCTTTTCACTCTTTGAGTCTGCAAGATCTCTTTGCTATACGGAATCAGGGGTCTATTTTTCTGTATTTTTCGGTGTTTCCACTCTCCCGCCCGAATGTCCATTCCGACGTAAACTTATAAAAGAAATATTCTGTCCTCAATTTCCCCCGCCGCAGTTGTGATTTATGACAAAATGGGAGAACGAAAGCTGTCACCCTTGCACACCCATAACAAACCAATCAGTACCCTCAGACAACAAAGTAATCGGCAAATATTCGGGAAACGCAGAATAGATCAGTTTTTGAATGCCTCAGTAACGTCCCATCTATACAGTCGACGGTCACCCCGCTGTTCCTCCTGTACGCACATGGGTACAATGTGTGAAGCCCATTTTTGGTGTCCCCCGCCGTGATATTGATGAAATATTGCTAAAAGCGGCGTAAAACTAAACTCACTCACTCACTCACTCCTATCCTCACAAATCAGATCAGGAGAGTTCTTAATGGGTTCGACTAAGTGAGTCTTCCACTGAATACAACGAATCCCGAATAAATTGCAAGGTTGTAATGTGGTAGTGTTCAGGGTGCCATTTGATGTTACTGTATTATGTATTTTTATATATGATCGTTTAGCTTCTGGAACAAAATGTTAGTCGAGGTTGCGAGACAGGGAGAAGTCCTATTCAGTATCTGGCCTGCGGATGGAGCAATGATGAGGAGCATAAGAACGCCTTATTTGCTGTATTTATCATTAAATTTAATTTAATTTATAAAATAATAGCAATAACAAAAACAACGAACACGTCGACGAGGTCATCATCAATAATAATGCTCGTGCTGACAAAACCCGCAGTGTAATTGTAAAAATAACTTCAAATAAAAACAATAGTAAACTTCAAAATTTTAACGGGGCATTTTTATTCAAATGTGCAAAATGGCCTGTCTTTTCCAATGCCTGGAATAAACAGCAGTTCTTGTAACATTATAATTTTTTTTATAAATATATGAATTTTCCCATTTATGGTGACGTTTTTATTCACACAAGAAATCATAGTGTCACAAATCAATCAACAGCTCGACAAATAACCTTGATGGCATGGTTACAATTATTTGGTTACTACTGTCAGATATTCAAAACAAAAATGTGAAAACCCTCAGCCTTATGAATATTCATCATGAAACAATTATTTATCAAATTATGTAAACATCATTTTAGAGGTGATGTATAAAACTGGTTGTTGGACAATATTTATTACACTTTGTACCTAGATGTCTTGGAGAGAGTGAACTATGTACTATGATCTAAAGTACATGAGTGTTACTTAGTTCTTGGGTTATGCAGGGGTGAGGTTCTGCTATGCTGTAAGCAAAATATGAAGCAAGTTAACACACAGCACCTTCAAGTCACAATTGGCAAAAATGCAAGACCAAATACACTCAAAATATGGAGTAATCACCCAAAGACATTTCCTGTATTGCAAAATATACTGATCAATACATGGGGGAAACCAAATGCATATATACTATGTCATGACTGTAGATTCTGCAGACACTGGCTGACAGCAGCATGAGTATGATTACTTGTCATGTAATATAGTGTTTTTCACCCATTTTAGTAACTTATATATTCCAAATATTCTGCCAATGAGGCCAAGGTTGGTAACTGGCATTCCATATTTTCCACTATACAGTTAGACCAATATGTTTTAAAATAATGGAAAAGAATAATGTACTGGTTATTATGCAGTGAACCAGTGTTGTAATCTTACAGCAAATAAAAACAAAGAATTTCATATTTCAACAAAATTCCATGTCATGTAGAATCACATGCCTATGCCATTGATTAAGCTTTAACTTTTCATTGGTAAGCATGTTTTTCATGGAAACTGGAGTAGTAGGGTAACCTAGTGGTTAAACTGTTGACACTTGTCACACTGAAGGCCCGGGTTTGATTCCCCCACATGTGCAAAGTGTGAAGCCCACTAGCTGCTCTCCCAGCATGATGTTGCTGGAATATTGCTAAAAGCGGTGTAAAACCCAACTCTCTCACTTGGAAACCTTTTGCTATATACACTGAAAATCTAATCTCCTACATCCATCGTTGTATATTTACTGTCAAATCAATATCATGGCTAAAGCAGAAATCTTCCAAACCATTCAGTTTGTGCTTGCTTTTATCCACACTTAAAACAATAAACAAGTTTTATAACTATTCTGCAATTTTATTCCAAAGACATAATTACTCATAACATATCAAACATTCTTCGCATTTCCTAGATGCTAAACCTGAAAAAATACTGTAACAGTATCATCTGGAATACAAAATGTTCTTTTCATGGTCACTCATCTAAATTCTCACTGAATTATCTGAGAGTCCCAAGATGTGACAAGACTTTTCCGCAACACCTTGCTGGTTACAAGCATTCCTGTTCCAGCAAGTGTCCAAAGGATGATGTGTAGGGCTTTTATATGTTTTATAACTGTATATACAACACTTCAATGACTTGCTGTTTCTTCATTTGCAATGTACTAGTATATTGCTTGACCACCAGATGTTAAAAGAAATCTGAAGATCTGTTTCAGTTTGTGTTGCTCTTGATGTCAATGGTAATTGTGGTGATAAAGAAATCTATTCCTCCTTCTTTCTCCTCTTAAAGATGTGCATCTGTTCCAACTGAAAAAAATACACAACACACGTGAGACCAAGTATGATATACTTAATAAAAATGTAAACAGTTCCTTACAATGTTGACATCAAGATATTATTGATACATTGCTAAGCATGTGGATGTTATGTTTAACTGAACATGCTGCACCATAACCAAATGCTAAATGGGGTTGTAATAACATATTAATCAAGCTCATATTAGAATACATTTGTGAGAGACACCTATTCAGTGTTTCAGAGCTATTGGTATCAATCAAAGTGTGGATATAATCATCATTGTTTACGCGCTATTAAATTATTATTTAATTCATTACATTTATTTTTTTAGAATTACACCTGAATTTTCATTGCACATTAAACTATCTTCTGATAATTCCAACGGCAAGATACTTTATTGACACAGTTTTTGGGTACACATGCATTATACCGGATACCTGCCTCGCCATATTTTATTAGGTCCCCTCTCCGGGGGACAATAAAATCCCACTGTAAGATATCAAAGGCAATCAAACGATTCACCAATCTGCACACATGTCAACTCCACCCTTACTGTGCGTGCCATGCTTAAACAATACCAGCCTTTAAATGAAAACAAAGAAATCCATGTAACAAACTTACCTCGATTAATGAATGGGCCAGCCTGAAGACGACGCTGTGACAACTCTGCGTCTGTTTGGCAAATATTCACGTGCTATTTATGCAGCATTGCCATAGTGCTTTAGCAGTCCATAGTCTGTTACATGGCATAGGTTTCTGATTCACACAGCGAGTGTCGAGTATGATTATCCACGGCATACCCCATGTAACAGTGTTATCGCCATTGCCGAAAAACGTTGTTTGTCACCGGAAGTTCTAAACTACGTAATCTCTCGCGAAGTGCCGTGACCTACTTACGGGCCCTATTGGTAAAAATACAGGGTGGTGCCCATTTTCTGCACGGATGTATATTACACAAGGGGAGTGGCAAGACAAGTAATAAAATTTGTATTGACATACATATAGATATAACTTACCTCGTCGCTTCCATATATGTGATCTTGTACATTTCTGTGTGAATGTATACACGGATGGGCAATGGTTGGAATTCTGTTCAAATTAGAATCATGCTGTTAAAGTATCGTTTAATTTATGTGAATATTTCTAGCGCTTCTAGAAATTGTTTCCACATACATGAAGTATATATGAACCTGATCGACGTAACAATCAATTCGACACAACAGAGAATGAGAAACTAGGTGAACAAAATGGTATCAGCATTAGTATTAACTAATCAATAATATTGATTTAATGTTTACACCCATCAATATGTGCCGAAATATTTCAAATAAAATATGAGAATATTAGTTATGAATTTGTTATTCTTTGGAGAGGCAATCCGCATTTCCGGGATGAAAATTATTTTGTGCTTAGGAGCTAAGCTTTCTTTAAGGGATCAATTTGATCATCCTCGTTCCTTGACCATGCAATCAATAAAAACCATACTGGTCTTTTGGCAAGAGTAGTGTGTTTGCAGATTGTAAATAGCAGGAACATTGGTGACAGTTACTTTTTCACTCTTTCAGACTGCAAGATCTGTTTTGCTATACGGAATCAGGGGTCTATTTTTCTGTATTTTTCGGTGTTTCCACTCTCCCGCCCGAATTTCCATTCCGACGTGAATTTATAAAAGAAATATTCTTTCCTCAATTTCCCCCGCCGCAGTTGTGATTTATGACAAAATGGGAGAACGAAAGCTCTCACCCTTGCACACCCATAACAAACAAATCAGTACCCTTCGACAACAAAGTAATCGGCAAATATTCGGGAAACGCAGAATAGATCAGTTTTTGAATGCCTCAGTAACGTCCCATCTATACAGTCGACGGTCACCCCGCTATTCCTCCTGTACTCACATGGGTACAATGTGTGAAGCCCATTTTGGTGTCCCCCGCCGTGATATTTATGAAATATTGCTAAAAGCGGCGTAAAACCTTCACTCACTCACTCACTCACTCACTCACTCCTGTCCTCACAAATCAGATCAGGAGAGTTCTTAATGGGTTCGACTAAGTGAGTCTTACACTGAATACAACGAATCCCGAATAAATTGCAAGGTTGTAATGTGGTAGTGTTCAGGGTGACATTTGATTTTACTGTTTTATGTATTTTTAAATATGATCTTAGTTTCTGGAACAAAAAGCTAGTGAGGTTGGTAGACAGGGAGAAGTCCTATACAGTATCTGGGCTGCAGATGGGGCAATGATGAGGAGCATAAACACGCCTTATTTGCTGTATTTATCATTAAATTTAATTTAATCTATAAAATAATAATAGCAATAACAAGAACAACGAACACGTCGACGAGGTCATCATCAATAATAATGCTCGTGCTGACAAACCCGCAGTGTAATTGTAAAAATAACTTCAAAGAAAAAAATACTATTATATATTTTCATGTTCACAGCAATCAAAAGCTTTGCAAATTATAGTCAGTCACGGGTAGTTTTATTAGAAAATAAAAAAAACAAAACACGTTTTCAGTACTAAGTAACGAGGAATGTTCGTGCTAAATCCATGGTCATACAGAATACTATTTGTACAGAATATGTTTGGTACAGCATTTTAGCAAGGTCTCTACTGATAGTTCAAAGCCTAAAGAAAATCAGACTATATTGTTCCCATAGATTCTTTCGAACCTAATATTGTTTCAAAGACGACAATACGTCACATTTGCACAGTGATGTGTTTTATCACGTATGAGTGGATGGTATATTACGGCCGGTGCTATCGTTCACCACAACATACCGGAGAAGATGAAGTTTCTCGTCGTGTGTGCTGTTGTGCTGACGTCGGCGTTGGTCCACGGGCAGGAGGCGGAGGAGGATGGTAAATAGGTTATTTATTTCGTATTTTAATATTCATATTTGTCGATGCATTGTGACAAATCTTCGGGGATTACATGTTATGTTAATTTCTCAATACTAAAACGAAAACCTTCAGTTGTTGGCGATCAACAGCATTTTATATTTGTTGTTTATGGTTTTAAATTTACTGTTCCTTTTCCACGGATTTTTATATTCTGATTTCATGTGTCATGAATGTATAATTTGTTTTACTCGCGATATGGCTGAAATGCTACCGATGTGACGAAAAATTCTAACTCACTCACTCACTAAAACGGTAAGCGCAGTTTGTACATTTTATCCCCAGTATATGTGCTTTCTATTGCAAAGTTTTCAGTACACTGAAATGATTGTATCAGTGTCTCTACGGGCATGGTCGGGGCATGGTGGCGAGCTGTCTAAGGCGCCAGGCTAGTGATCCAGTGATCTAGAGGTGCCGGGATCGAGCCCACCTGTGACCGGGTGTAAAAGCCTTGGAGTTAACTTTCTGTGCAGACTCTTTCAGTGTTGTCATATAGTGTACAGTACACAACCCTGTGCAGCTTAAAAGAACCCACGAATCCGTTGGTATATGACCAGATTGTGGCCACATGAATACGTGCAAACACCTAGTTGCGGGTTCAGCAACGTGCAGTAACACTTGGACAAAGTACTGTTTAATATGTGTCCCAGTCCACCCAGCTGTGAATGGGTACCTTGTAAGGATGGGAAAAGCTACATTAAATCGGTGCGCCTAGTGGCTGCAAGAGGTGTATGATTCCCAGGGAGTTGAGATTGATAATACAATGTGCCATTTGAGATTGACATCCAGTGATCGAGGGAAAAACAAAGCGCCTTTGAGCAGGTGATCTGGATATTGGCGCTATATAAATATACATAAATAAATGTATAATAAATATATAAAATACAATACGGTTCGTTTGTTAAGAGCTACATGTCAGTGAAACCATGTTTAGTAGTTTGGGCCGTATATCCGCTTGATCATTATCCTAATTTCACACCCATTTCGTGAGTGAGTATGGTTTTAGCAACATTCCAGCAATGTTACGGCAGGGGGCACAAGAAATTGGCTTCACACACAGTCGCCGCAGTTGACGCAATTCAGTGTGTAGAGTTGCGTCCCGTGAGCTCATAAGCGACCCACGATTTTGGGTTACGTTTCTAGGTAAGCCAACACAATACCTGTGTTTGCGGGTTTCACCAAAAATGACAATTGTTTGAGACCTGCATTACTCCAGGTTTTCGTCCCACATAAAGTTGACATGTCGTGATGTCACTACAGTGTTTAAAGCGGCGTTAAGCCCCGCTTTTCCGAATCTTTGGGACCCCAGGGCCCAATCCACAATGCGTTCATAGCGCTACGATATTCTTCAGCCTATGGTAAACTAGAGAGTTACGACAGGTCGTAACGTTACGGACGCTTGGTGGATCAGGGCCCGGTACGGGTTTTGTATGTTTCAGCAGTACTGTTTCCAGAGTCAGAAGACGATGATCTTGAACTGGAGAATCTGGAAGACAGGGTGGCAGCCCTCGAGGACAACAGTAAGTGAAACTGATATGTGTTCATTGTTACATATACCTGAGGGCAAAAGACTTTCCACAGGAGTCCCTGTTTGAGAATATGGCGAGTGAGTGAGTGAGTATGGTTTTAGCAACATTCCAGCAATGTTACGGCAGGGGCACAAGAAATGGGCTTCACACACAGTCGCCGCAGTTGACGCAATTCAGTGTGTAGAGTTGCGTCCCGTGAGCTCATAAGCGACCCACGATTTGGGGTTACGTTTCTTGGTAAACCAACTCAATACCTGTGTTTGCGGGTTTCACCAAAAAATGACAATTGTTTGAGACCTGCATTACTCCGGGTTTTCGTCCCACATAAAGTTGACATGTCGTGATGTCAGTACAGTGTTTAAAGCGGCATTAAGCCCCGCTTCTCCGAATTTTTGGGACCCCAGGGCCCAATCCACAAAGCGTTCATAGCACTACGATATTTTTCAGCCTATGGTAAACTAGAGAGAGTTACGACAGGTCGTAACGTTACGGACGCTTTGTGGATCGGGACCCTGTTTTGTATGTTTCAGCAGTATTGTTTCCAGAGTCAGAAGACAATGATCTTGAACTGGAGAACCTGGAAGACAGGGTGGCGGCCCTCGAGGAGAACAGTAAGTGAAACTGATATGTGTTCATTGTTACGTATACCTGAGGGCAAAGACTCCAGAGGAGTCCCTGTTTGAGAATATAGTGAGTGAGTGAGTGAGTGAGTATTGTTTTACGCCGCTTTTCGCAATATTCCAGCAATATCACGGCTGGGGACACCAGAAATGGGCCTCACACAATGTACATGTGGGGAATCGAACGCGGTCTTCAGCGTAACGAGCGAACGGTATAACCACTAGCTTACCCCACCTCCCGGTTGAAAATATAGAGGAAAAGCCCAAAGGTTAAACTTTTCTGTACCTTCCAGAACGGTGTCCAAATATAGCACAATTCTAAATATAGCACACCCCCACTGTACTATGTTACAAACTAGGAACATTGTTCCACATTGAACAACACTGTCTCACAAGTTTATTTTATACATTGTAATACCCGAGTTAGAATTGATCTTCAGTATCCCATGCTTGTCGTAAGAGGCGACTAACTGGATCGGGTGGTCAGGCTCGCTGACTTGGTTGACACATGTCATAGTATCCCGATTGCGTAAATCGATGCTCATGATGTTGATCACTGGGTTGTTTGGTCCAGACTCGGTTAGTTACATATGTCTGGAATATTAGTGAGTGCGGCGTAAAGCTAAACTTACTCACTCACTCACTTATATATTGTAGTGAGTGAATGAGTATTGTTTTGCGCCTAATGAATCGAACCCGGGGTTGCACTTTAACAACTAGACTTCCTTACAACCCTCACTTAAGTTAGTAATATGAATATGTTAGCCGAATGAATGATCTATCAATGCCCAAGTTTAATGCACATGTGCAGCGTATGTTTTATCACGTTGTGAGTGAATGCGTTTGGTTTTGCTTATATTTTATCGAACCGGGGTTGGGGTGTGCCGAACGGAAGCCTTAACCACTAGGATATCCTAAAACCCTAAGTATGCTCAGTGTACTCATTATGAATTCAAGAACGAAGATTTAAAAATTAGTGCAACTTCCATTTTCAAGATCGTTAGGATGAGAAGGCCACAATAACTCGGTGCGCCTAGTGGCTGCAAGAGTTGTATGATCCCCAGGGAGTTGAGATTAATAACACGATGTGCCGTTGAGACTGACATCCGATGATCGAGGGAAAAAATACCAGCGCCTTGAGCAAGCACTAGTTGCCTGGATATGTGCGCTATATAAATATCATATAATAAAATAATATATGTACAGAATTATCCCTCTCCGGATTAAAGTATTGAAATTTAATTGCAGAATACTATAGTCTGTTTGCAGTGAAAACGTACCGATGAATTTCACTTTAAACAAAAAAGTAAATCAAATTAAGTGATAAAAACCAATAGTAGTGATTGGAATCTGTGATCGTTTGTTAAACAACTTTTATCCTAAGTGGAATAAAATTCTGAGATTTAAATGTTCAACTGGCAAGGTAAAATTATGAAGATCTGCAATCATAATTTCACTTAATTTGATTTACTTTTTTGTTTAAAGGGAAATTAATTGGTACGTTGTCACTGCAAACAGACTATAACTGAATAAGTAGGGTTAGCATGCATTCAGCATTATTCCTACCACAGCAGGACGGGTGACCAAAAATTAGTTTCACATGTTTTAACCATGCAGGGAATCGACACCGGGCGTTGGCGTGAAGAGCGTTACCACATGACTACACTTTAAACCTTAAAGTGTTATAGTTATGAACATTGTGAGAACACCATTCCTGTAACATATTTAGTGTTCTAATTTAGACACTATGTGTTCTGCCGCCAGAGCACTAGTGTTCCACTTACAGAACGCTCGTGTTCTAGATTTCAGAACACTATTTGTGTGTTCTGTATGTGTTCAACTCAGAACACCCCGGACGCTGTAACAGATTTAGAACGCCCTTTGAGTGTTCTGAGTGTTCTCAACTTCCACCAGCCTAACATGAACGAATAAAAACAACAATATGAAATGATTCAAAACTTTAGTTACACCTATACTGACTACGAAAACGAGTTATTGTTATCATCGTGGTCCTTGTGCAGCTCTAAACTTAAAAAAACCGACATGGATATAACATATTTACACATGTAAGCATGTTCTGTATGGTTTGCGTATGTTATAAATGTAAGTTATGTGTTCTGCGTATGCTCTAAGTGTGTGAATATATGTGCCCTTACTGGATTTATACCCAATCCTACTTACAGAATATTGAAATGTGTATAATATATATCCTAAGTAAGCTTAAAAAATGAGAAATAACAATGTTCCATTAAAATCTCCTCATCTAAAGCTGATTCCTCATAACTCGTTTTGCCTACCACAGTCACAGTGAATGAGATGTTGAGCGTGGAGGTCCCTTCCCTGGCGATGGAGGTCGAGAAGATGAACCATGCGCTGAAAAAGATGGATGACTACATTGACAAACTTTACAAGTACACCAAAGGAATCAAGAAGGAAATACAGGAAGGTTATGCATTTCATTTAAACTTTGACACTTCACTGAGTATGTATTTTAACAATGTTCAAGCAATGTTACAGAAACACCATATATGGGCTTCACACATTGTTTTCCATCAAGCCCAGGTCGTCGGCATGACGAGCAAACGCTTTAACAACTAGGTTGCCCGCTTCCTATGACGCTTAAACGACACATGAAGGGTTAAAGAATGTTTTGACAACGGATGCCAGGAACAACTCAATTCTTGTGTCTATCATATGAACCCGTGAAGATCCGGGTTAGAATTGATCTTCGGTAATCTATGTTTGTCGTAAGTGGCTACGTACGGGATCGGGTGGTCAGGCTCGCTGACTTGGTTGGCAGATGTCATCGTATCCCAATTGCGTAGATCAATGCTCACGAACGCTTTGACCACTAGGCTTCCCCGCCTTCCAATTATCATAAAGAGGTCACCACACTGAATGATGCCATCGTAACACCAATGTGGGGCGGGATTTTGAGGTCTAATATAACATCTTACTAACAAACAGTTCACGTTACAAGTTATATATAGAATACACGAGTCCTCTTGAGCCAGAGGGGTATCTGTCTTCAAATTTGGAATCACTGGATTGTCTGTACCAGATTCCACCGCCATACAGCTGGAATATTGCTGAGTGCAGCGTAAAAGTAAACTCACTCACTCACTCCATCATACGATGGGTTATGTTATCAATACAGTAAACCAATTCGATGAACATATTATTCTGATCACTGATCAACTAAACATGTAAATATATACGGGGTATATATATATACCGCCAAGCTGACGAAAATATGCACCTTTTTTGATGATGGCTAAAATGATACAAAATAGAGATGTATTTTCAATGGCGATACATTTGACGTGGGTTGACGTCTTGTTTTTCACCCTTTGCAATATTGTGACGATTGTTTTCAATCTTATAACGGTTTGATAACGTTAATGATTTGGTCACAATATGAATTTGTAATCTACCATACTTTTGAATACACAATGCCATTTAGAAAGTAGTCAAATGTAACATATGTTATATTTGAGATTACACTCTGTCAGTGGAAGCCGCGGTGGCTGAGCGGGTTAGGCGGTTGACTTTGCGTGCTGGCGATTAGGTGCCTGACTCTGGGGGTGTTGGTTGGAATCCTGGATGGGAATCAACCCAACAAAAGTACAAGAATCTGAGAAAGTGTAGTCCCAAATATAACATATGTTATGCCATACTGATGATACAATGTTGGCATACACTGCCAGTCAAAATAAGGTACACACCGAAATACATTTGGGTATTCGAGTGTATTATTGTCACGGTATGGAAACACTCAAATGATCATCTATGGATTGCTCCTTTCAAATATCAATAACTCCGTTTTGTATTGATTTCAGGCAAAGAAGACATAGCAAAATCAGTGAAAGCGAATCAGGACCGAATCGCCAAGCTTCCTAGACAGATAGAAGACCTGAAGAAGGACATAGAGAACAAGGGTAAATATGACAGTCTTTATCAACCCACAGGGGCTTGTAACGCTAAAAACTGCCACCAAGGTATATACTGTCACTGACGGGGTTTTAGTACTATATAAAAGGAAAGGGATGTAACGAGGTCAACACACCAGGTTCGTTTCAGGGCGAATTCAACAATGTTCACTGTATTTATCCCATTTAAAGTATGCACACATTTCAAGCCAATAGATTTACCAACAAAATGAGACATACAACACAAAAATCGAAGCAGTAGTTTGGGAGCTAGGGTCTTCGGAAGCTCGAAAAATCGTGATTTCTCGATTCCGAGCCAAATTCCTGCTCAGAATTTGTAGCGGTAACTCACCCATTTTCTTGTTTATTTCACAGTATACACAAACGACATGCACCAAAACATGTTGAACTGATGGCACCTGTCAGCGCGCTAGTCGCCATTCTTTCGAAGACACTTACATCTCACTCTCATAATGAGTTTACGTACATTTATTCATTTATTATAATTTTAGAGTATTATAACAAGGACATCAGATCAGTTTACGTACCTTTATTCAACGGAAACAGAATTGTGTCGTGCCCGTTCGCTATTGACGACCTATCCTTAACCTGCACTAAAAAGAGCAAGGGAGCTAATTGGCTAAAAATTAATTATGTCCCATCAAATCGCTGACTGTTTTCAGTGCGGGGCAGGTTAAGGCCAAGTTCGTCAATGGCGAACGGGCACGACACAATTCTGTTTCCGTTGAATAAATGTACGTAAACTGATCTGATGTCCTTGTTATAATACTCTAAAATCAACTTCCTCTTCTCTAAATCATCCATACTGAGGATCACTGAAAATGTTGTCTGCTAGCACGTAAACAAAGGGGGATAACTCGCCACAAACTAATGAAAAAGTATTAACGGAGTTGTCTTTCTTGAATGAAACCAAGCACTTGATAGCTGGTCAAGGTTGTTTATACTAGAAATCGAATTAAACATTTTCCTTAAATTCTCAATAATTTCTTGTCATACTATATATAGTATTAAGACCCCGTTAGTGACAGTATATACCTTGGTGGCAGTTTTTAGCCTGACAAGCCCCTGTGTATCTACCAAGTCTAATTATACTACGCTTTGTTTTCATATAAAATCTTTGAAGGGCATTTAGTTATGATACACACCAGTGGGAGAAGTTAGGGATCTCAAACCTCTTTATTATGGGGAACACACCATTTAAAAATATACTACTCACACTTTGCTAAGGATCACAAAAATCACAACTTTACTAAAACGTAGATATATTATTTTAAATTGTATCCATTTAAAACTGGATAAATAATGACATGGTAACCCCTCTTTAGGCAAACAGCCACTTTAATCTAACCTTATGCACTTGATACATGAGTAACCATAGAAATGGTTTTCATGGCACCAATCAACCATTTTGCAAATCATGGAACGAGTCATTGGCAAGTACACAACACCTGTCAATAGCAGGTATGGGTTCCACAAAATGAAATGACAAACTGAAACCTAGGATCCATGCTTACAATAAGCTTAGATATTTAAACCAACTTTGACCCCACATCATAGTTTTCTGTTGAATCCATGAGTTGATCCTTAGCAAAGTGTGAATAGTATATATGCGTATGTGTGGAAATGTACCTGATGAGGAGTTGGCTTATTGTAAGAGGCGACTAACAGGATCGGATGGTCAGGCTCGCTGACTTGGTTGACACATGTCATCGTATCCCAATTATGTAGATCGGTGCTCGTGATGTTGATCACTAGATTGTCTGGTCCAGGCTCGATTATTTACAGACCGCCGTCATATAGCTTGAATCTTGCTGAGTGCGGCTTTAAACAACAAATCAACAAACAACCTAATGTAACAACTGTTCCGACTGATTTCAGAGGACAAGCACTCGCCTGAGGAGACAGAGAAATACCTTCGCGGCCTATGGACAAACTGGAAGGAAGGGAAATTCGGAGTACCCGCAGAGCAGCCCAAAAAGGAGGAGCTGACGGAACAAGTGACATCTCCAGCGAAAAATGGTAAGGAGTCCTCTCCTGTGTCTTTGGGGATATACCTGTGAAGCTCCGGGTTAGAATTGGTCTTCTGCTTGTTGTAATAGGCGACTAACGGGATTGGGTGGTCAGGCTGGCTGACCTGGTTGACACATGTCATCGTATCCCAATTTCGGCGATTGATGCCCATGATGTTGATCACTGGATTGTCTGGTCCAGACCACCGCCATATAGCTGGAATATGGCTGAGTACGGTGTTGAACAACAAACAAACCAAAGCTTTGGGGATAAAACCGGGACACAGTTATAATCAATATATGATTACTATTATTTTGGTCTGATTGATATTATGCCTAATATCTTTCTCCTTATTTTATGCTGTTTTGTCGATACATCTTTGGTGTGTATGTTAATACATGTATGATCTATTCTGGAGAGGATCCAGTAATACAGATGTGCCTTTCCCTTAACCAGGCTGCCATATATATCTTCAACTCTCACAAATTGATAACACCCAATTCTATGCAAACACCTCATGTCATATACTCTTAAAAAAGGAACTTCATCTTCGATAGGAAGTATAAGCGTCAGCAAACTTTCCAAAGACAGACATCTTATGAACGCACTATCATTTCTCTTTATCGCCACCCCTAAACACAACGTATGGGGTGTCATTCTTGTTTTGACGGTTTTCAAGAAGGTCGATAAATCACTGTAGACCATTAATTTCGACAATTATCTTGAATCATACAGTTGTTAGTGTTTGTTTCTAGTCGGGTTTTTGTTTTGTTTGAAAATCCTACACATGCAAATTCCACGTCAAACACCAATCATCTTTCGAGAGCGATTACTGTACAAACAACTATGGTCATAAGGAAGTGCAAGTGGTGATGCACTCTCTAAACATTCATTATTAACATATCAACATTGATTGACTCCGCTATATTTCCCAATTTTTTTAATCGTAAATTAGCAATGAGTTCCCCTACTTTTTAAGAGTATTTTATACCTGCCAGAAAATCTGCAGAAAATCAGTCGAATGCCACACAATGTGCAGACTGTGTAGCTACAAGTATGGATAATCGCAAAAATAGTCCCAGACTAAAAGTATAAAGTGTATTTTTAACATTTGTAAAAACAATCTTTCACATAAGTCATCGCCTTGTCATCTGAGGCATCGCAATTCGCTGTGCAGAGTCGCCTCCCTTGGTCACGAGAGAAACCTATAATCGTAGATTCGACTCCCGGTGCACTATAAGTATGTTTCAAGATTTGCCAGCACCCAATCTGTGCTCATGGATTACATTAAAGTGGTAAACGTCTGATAGGCCGTCATATCATTATAAGATATTATTTAATGCGGCGTTTAACCTATAGGTACATTGCTCATTTTGAATATTGTTTTAAAAATGATTTTGCATATGTCCTCAAGAGTTTAAAATTTCAACAGTCAGAACAAATCAACAATTTACTGTCAAACATTAAGAGTGAGTTAGTGACTGAGTATGGTTTTACGCTGGTGTTAGCAATATTCCAGCAATATCACGGCAGGGGACACCAGAAATGGGCTTCACACATTGTACCCATGTTGGGAATCGAACACGGGTCTTCGGCGTGACGAGCGAACGCTTTAACCACTAGGCTGTCCTCCGCACCAACACCGAAGATAATCTGTTGACAAAATGCATGTTAAGACTGACACTATGTTACAAATGATATGGAATGATAAGTACAATGAACATAAAATAGACAAACAGACCACGTCAAAAGCTCCTTTGAGTTTCGGGCGGTGAACTGAAGATGGAGTATACAAATTCAGAATTAAATTTCAGCTTGGAGAGGACTTCGACACCACCAAAGAAGAGGCCACACTAGACATGTTGGTGGTCACAGTCGTCATGGTGGTGGTGGTGGTGGTGCTTTCGCCTGGACAGAGAACTGGTTAGCAAAGAAGAAACAAGAATGGCAGCAGAAGCACCAGGGTGAGAATAATATTACTCGCGATCATACACATTGGGTCTTGTGGCAGCAGAGGCCCCAAGGTGAGAATAATATTACTAGCGATTATAAACACTGGGTCCGTTCTGGCAGCAGAGGCACCAAGTTGAGAATAATATTACATGGAGGCTCATGAGAATCACATCATTCACATTGGGTCCGTTCTCGCAGCAGAGGCTCCAAGGTGAGAATACTATTACACGCGATCATTCACATTGGGTCCGTTCTCGCAGCAGAGGCTCCAAGGTGAGAATACTATTACACGCGATCATTCACATTGGGTCCGTTCTCGCAGCAGAGGCTCCAAGGTGAGAATACTATTACACGCGATCATTCACATTGGGTCCGTTCTCGCAGCAGAGGCTCCAAGGTGAGAATACTATTACACGCGATCATTCACATTGGGTCCATTCTCTTCGCAGCAGAGGCTCCAAGGTGAGAATACTATTACACGCGATCATTCACATTGGGTCCGTTCTCGCAGCAGAGGCTCCAAGGTTAGAATACTATTACACGCGATCATTCACATTGGGTCCGTTCGGGCAGCAGAGAATACTATTACATGCGATCATTCACATTGGGTCCGTTCTAAGCAGCAGAGGCTCCAAGGTGAGAATACTATTACACGCGATCATCCACATTAAAGTCGTTCTTCTCAGCAGAGGCTCCAAGGTGAGAATACATTCACATTGGGTCCGTTCGGCAGCAGAGGCAGAGAATAATATTACATGGATCATTCACATTTGGTCCGTTCGGGCAGCAGAGAATACTATTACATGGATCATTCACATTGGGTCTTGTGGCAGCAGAGGCAGCAAGGTGAGAATAATATTACATGGATCATTCATATTGGGTCTTGTGGCAGCAGAGGCAGCAAGGTGAGAATAATATTACATGGATCATTCACACTGGGTCCGTTCAGCAGTGAGAATACTATTACATGGATCATTCACATTGGGTCCGTTCTCTCAGCAGAGGCAGCAAGGTGAGAATAATATTACATGGATCATTCACACTGGGTCCGTTCTTGCAGCAGAGGCAGAGGTTAGAATACTATTACATGGATCATTCACACTGGGTCCGTTCGGGCAGCAGAGGCAGCAAGGTGAGAATAATATTACATGGATCATTCACATTGGGTCTTGTCGGGCAGAGACACCAGAGAATAATATTACACGCGATCATGGCCACATTTTGTCCGATCATTCACACTGGGTCCGTTCGGGTGGCAGCAGAGGCAGCAAAGGTGAGAATAATATTACATGGATCATTCATATTGGGTCTTGTGGCAGCAGAGGCAGCAAGGTGAGAATAATATTACATGGATCATTCACACTGGGTCCGTTCGGGCAGCAGAGGCAGCAAGGTGAGGCACCAAGGTATGAATCAGATTCGGCATGATCATGGATGGGTTTCTAGACACAGGTTGGCTGTGGCCTGAAAATATTCGTGTTGGGGTCTCAGCCAAAATACATTATTTCTCTCAGAGAAATGCTCACCCATTGGTTGTTGATTTTGTTTGTTTACAGCCGAACGCAGCAATATTTCAAGTAAATGACGGTCTGCAGTTAGTGAGTAGGTATGGGTTTACGACAATTTTAGCAATATTCCAGCAATATCACAGGAGACACCAGAAATGGGCTTCACTCATTGTACCTATGTTGGGAATCAAACCCGGGTCTTGACGAGCGGACGTTTTAACCACTAGGCTACCCACTGCCCCGACGGTCTATAAATATAAGATTCTGGCCTAGACATGTCAGTGAGAAACAGCATGAGCATTGTCCAATGCAATTGGAATATGTTTTTCAAAAGACAAATCTTGTGGATAGCAACTTCTATATTTGTTTACCACGACGTTTCGGGGCTAGTTCTTGCCCCTTCTTCAGGTAGTAAACAAATAAAGAAGTTGTTAAAATATCCATAAGATTTGTCAGTGCTGAGTAACGATGTATTTTTGTAATTTGGAAGTTTTTTGAAAGGGAAATAACTTTCGTTTAACTCTTCTTTTTGGAACAGAAAAACCTGAGACAGAAGACACGGGGAGCGCAGAGAGCGAACCGAGAATTGATAACACAAATGAAAGTGCAGGTATGTAAAATGGACAAATGTTTTTGTGCGCTCTTTTGTACGCTAAAATTGATCAGTAAGGAACAATGTTTCATACTCACGGCTCTACTCTGTCCCGCTCTACTACGAGCATGCCCCATTAAAGTGAGTGAGTGATCATGAAATCAGTTTTACGCAGCACTCAGCAATATTCCAGCTATATGGCGGCGGTCTGTAAATAATTGAGTCTGGACTAGACAATCCAATGATCAACAGCATGAGCATAGACATGCGCAAATGGAAACCGATGACGTGTGAACAAAGTCAGCGAGCCTGACCACCCAATCCCGTTAGTCGCCTTTTACAAGCATGGGCTACTGAAGATCAATATTCTAACCTGGACCTTCAGGGATATGCCTCTGCAAAACAATTTGCCTCGGAATGTAAGTATTTAAGCCTGACGCCATACAGCAGTACCAGTGGCATGCGACCTGTGAACAATTATGTCAGTATGGTCAATAGTCAATAAATTCAATACAGTCCCAAAATTCAATACAGTCAATAAATTCAATACAGACAGTACATTCAATACAGTCAGGACATCCAATACAGTCAGGACATTAAATACAGTCAATAAATTCAATACAGCCAATGCAGTCAAAACATTCGATACATTCTGGGTGAAACAGAAAATTGTTGTTAATTTTGAACAGTTGAAATTTTGGTATCAATGAACTATATATGAGGCGAAGTACCAACTGCTGAATACATACAAGCGAAAACACGCTAGCGTCTGAAGATCTGACCCGTGAAGATCCGGGTTAGAATTGGTCTTCAGCAACCCATGCCTGTCGTAAAATGCGACTAACGGGATCGGGTGGGTTAGGCTCGCTTACGAGGTTGACACATGTCATCGTATCCCAATTGTGAAGATCGATGCTCATGATGTTGGTCACTGGATTGTCTGGTCCAGACTCGATTACATCCAGACCGCCGTCATACAGCTGGAATATTGCTGAGTGCAGCGTTAAACAACAGCAACTACAACAACAGAAACGTGCACGGAACTGTCACTTACTTCTCATTTCAGATGAAGAACAGAACAAGCTAATATTCCGTTAGCAGACCAAAACAGACCAATGTAACGGTAGGATACCACAACAACAGTGTAATAATGAATTGAAACTGTCTTCTTCAAAATATAAACCGTCACGCCAGTGTCGACTATTCATCGAAATATACTGAGAGAAACAAATAAAGGATCACAGGAAAATGCAAGCTAGCGTTCCTTTAATAGTTTCCAGTTTTCATCACCAGCTTTGAATAGCGCTGTGGTGATGAAACCTGGAAAATAATAAAGGAACGCTTGAATTTTTCTGTGATCCTTTATTTGTTTCACTCAGTATATATTGTTTGTAAAAGTCAAAATAAAACACAACAGCAAAACAATTATGACCGGACCAGTGATGACACCACATGTTCCCGCAAAGGGAAGGAGTGAGTGGGTCGGGTTTTACTCCGCCTATAGCAGTAGTCCAGCAATATAACGACGGGACACCAGAAATGGACTTCACACATATGGAATCGAACCCGGGCATGACGAGCGAACGCTGTAACCTCAAGGCTACCTCGCCGCCCCGTTGCCGGTGGAGTTGAACAGAACATGGTTACTCATTTGGCAAACACCCGGTGTCATCACTAAAGTTTAGGCATCCGTTTATATAATTTTCACCAATAGTTTGTCTTTTACGACCAGTGGAATAAATTTCAGTCTGTAACCATAACTGATAATACTTGATAATATTTATTGGTCCCGATCCACAAAGCGGTCATAACGTTACGACCTGTCGTAGCTCTAGCGTTTACAAACGAATGTCGTAGCGCTACGTATGCCATGTGGATCTCCTGCCCCCCGTTCCACAAAGCGATTGTAAAGCTAAGGTGATCATTACTCCCACACGATCGCTTTGTGAAACGGGCGCCTTTATATCAACTCCCGGATGTTCAGACATTGCATCGCTTTGCATTTTTTCCTGTCTGTGTCAGGATGTTATGAGTGCTATGAATCCGTATGCATCTAAATATATTATGAAGCAAGTTTACACAGTGCCTCGCACTATATTGTTTTGTCTCTGTTTCAGCACGTTGCGTCCGCTGTGCATCAGAAAATAAATAAATGATGAAGCAAGTCTCATTGTTGTATTCTTGGTATTCGTGTTCCTGCTTTGTAAGGGAAACCTGATTACCTGATTATGTAGTGGCGTAGAGCTGTAATTCCACTCTGTATGCAGGAAGTCCAATTTCCCTTATCTCAAAACGAATGTTTAGATATTGCATTTAACACGGAAGTACATTTAGTGGACATTTAGTGTCTCGTATCGTTGTGTTTACATTTTAATATTAGGTTTGTTGGTTGTTTGTTTTTCAACGCCGCACTCAGCAACGTTCCAGCTATTTGGGGCGGTCTCTAAATAATCGGGTCTAATAATCGACCAGACAATCCTGTGATCAACATCATGAACATCGATTTTGGGATACGATGGCATGTGTCAACCGGTCAACCTGTTAGTCGACCGCCTCCGTGGTGTAGTGGTTAGAGCGTCCGCCCGGAGAGCGGAAGGTCGCGGGTTCGATCCCCGACCGCGTCATACCAAAAGACGTTAAAATATGGTACTTGTTGGTCCCTGCCTGGCGCTCGGCATTAATGGGTACAACAAGGACTGGTCGGCTCGGAGTCAGTATAATGTGTCTGAGTGGGGTATTCATGCTTCACTGCGGCATGGTATCTCAGTGAGCTAGCACTATAAAACCAGCTTCAGTCTGGGCTAGTACAAGCAGCCGCACATACACATACACACGCATGCACGTCGTCATATGAGCGAAATATTCTCAAGCACGACGTAAAACCCAATTTCACATCACATCACATCAACCTGTTAGTCGCCCCTTATTATGAGCACTGGATGCTGAAGACCGACTCCCCTGCTTGTGCACGGGTAATATTCTTCAAAACATAACAACCTCGTTCAGCTGTCTCAGATTTTGATCTTGCAAAAGGTCGAGCAGAATGGCAAAATGTTATTTATACAGGAAAAGAAATACATATCACACAACAAAAATAATTATTATTTCAAAGGGAATGTGTGTGAAGGTTATATGTATTGGGATAATTCCATAAACGCTAACATCCATCTGTATCGAACCTAATCCTCTCGTGTACTTATATAAGCGTTTACAGTGAGATAATATCAAAACCACATCAATTTCACAAATCACAGTTGAGTGATCACAAATTTGATTCGTAGCAGAATAACCGAACCCTAACACACTAACGCTGAACACGAACGGGTCATCGTGTTTTATTCCAAGAACGTATCGATTCAAATGAGTGATTATGGGTTTAAATAATGTTTTGCTTGAAATACTAAGCATTAACGCAAATACATGTGAATGGGTAAATACTAAAAGTTGGAAGAAGAAAACCTTCATGTGCAAACTGCGTTATGATGCGTACATCATTACACAGAGACCAGAATGATAACATATTACATATACAGGAACAGAAATACACATTAAAACACATTTCAAGTGAATATGTTTGAAGATTATTTCAATTGGAGTATATTTGTGCTCATCAACCTCCATCTGTATCGAACGTAAACATCTTACATAAGCTGACTGACTGACTGAGTTTTAGTTTTTACGCCGCTTTTAGCAATATTCCAGCAATATCACGGCGGGGGACACCAGAAATGGGCTTAACACATTGTGCCCATGTGGGGAATCGAACCCGGGTCTTCGGCGTGACGAGCCAACGCTTTAACCACTAGGCTACCCCACCGCCCTCTTACATAAGCCTTTACAGAGGGATAATATTTAAATCACATCGAAAAACCTCATGCATATTTCACGGCTGAGTGATCACTGACAGAATAACCAAACCCATAATCAATAATCAATAACCAATAATCAAACACGAGTGAGTCATCATTTGGTACTTACATAAGGTATCGATTCAACTTAGTGATTATGGGTTTGAATATGTTTTAAAAGAAGTTCCTAACAGTTGACTGAGTATGGTTTTACGCCGCTTTTAGCATTATTCCAGCAACATCACGGGGGAATAGAACCCCGGGTCTTCGGCGTGACGAGCCAACGCTTTAACCACTAGGCTACCCCACCGCCCTCTTACATAAGCCTTTACAGAGGGATAATATTTAAATCACATCGAAAAACCTCATGCATATTTCACGGCTGAGTGATCACTGACAGAATAACCAAACCCATAAACAATAATCAATAACCAATAATCAAACACGAGTGAGTCATCATTTGGTACTTACATAAGGTATCGATTCAACTTAGTGATTATGGGTTTGAATATGTTTTAAAAGAAGTTCCTAACAGTAATGACTGACTGAGTATGGTTTTACGCCGCTTTTAGCATTATTCCAGCAACATCACGGCGGGGGACACCAGAAATGGGCTTCACACATTGTACCCATGTGGGGATTCGAACCCGGGTCTTCGGCGTGACGAGCCAACGCTTTAACCACTAGGCTACCCCACCGCCCCCTAACAGTAATGAAAATATATGTTTATAGGTAAGCATAAAACAGTCAGCAGGTGAAACTCTTCATCAATGAACAAACAACGTCCGGATGAACATCATTACACATATATATACAAATATACATGTATGATTTCTTAATTACAATATTGACCATTCAGAACGTGACTGGCAACATCAAGATAAAATAACCCACATCTATTTTAAAACGTACAAAACGTGGCATGCCGATAGTGTCTTATTGTTATAGTCACGTGACTTAATAGGTACGTTGTGCAACGTAATGCTGTCATTAACTCTTTTGTACCACCAATAACACAGTCTGAACGGAACATCCAAATAGTTTCTATTAGGTAAGCCGTAAGCTGCACCTGCCAAAAATCTCTACGATTTTGGCATCACAGACACCTGGATGATTTAAATAAACGGGACCAAAATGTGATCTTTATGTTACAGTGAATATGTAAAGCCAGGGATTATGTTAGAGTATAATCCCTGAAGGTTTCTGTGATTATGTATAATGTCTGATTCACTGTATTTTCAGGGATTACACAATCACTGAATATAGACTAGAATTTTAGACATATTCCCTGAAATCTCTTTTTGTGTTGTTTAAGGTATATTTCTTCCAAAAAGATGTGGAATTAGACTTTTGTATTAAGCAGCATAGAGACGTTTCTTTGCTACAATGGTATCTTCATGCAACATAATAAAATTTATATATGATTGATATACATAGGGAAATGTATGATGGACATGTTCAGTGTATAATCACTGAGTGAATCAGACATTATACATAATCACTGAAAATTTCAGGGATTATGCATAATCCCTGGTTTTATATGTTCACTGTAACATGAATAGCTGAATCAGCGTGTACTAGTTGCAACGGGACGTAACTCCTCTTACAAAAAGCGGACGTCGACTACCCATCCAAAGACATTTTCACAATCTTGAATCTTCGTCATTTTTTTACCAATGATTACGCGGCATGTCAAAGCAATTGCTTGAGACTACATGAAAAATATTAATCTCATAATAGCAAAGAGGCAGTGACAAAACCGCAAGCTTTAATTATTTTGAGTTACCTATGCTTTGCATAATAATTAAGTAAGTTTTATTTTTTTATCAGAACATCAAATAGAGCAAGTGCAAAATCTTGTTTTTCATTTATCACCATGTTCTGTACGATCGTCAGCCTCACACACCTCAACTGGAGACACCTTGACCTTCTCCATCCTGGTCAACTCCTTAGCATCTGAGGTCCTGGAAGCGTACGAGTAGAACGTGACAAAGTTGTCCACCAACAGAGGAACTGTCAGAGCCAGGGTCATTATACCCATACACGCACACAACACGCCGACAAATCTGCCCTCGTGGTTAGAAGGTACCACGTCCCCATAGCCCACTGTTGTCATGGTGACCATAGCCCACCAGGCAGCAAACGGCAAATCTTCCATCTTGTCGGCGTTGACTGTGTACGCAAGAGTACCAAACACAATGGTATTGATGAAAATCAGAAGGATTATGAAACCAAACTCTTTGTAGGAAGTGAACACGGTGTATTTTAACACCTTAGCTCCTGTGATGTGTTTCGCAAGTCTGAAGAGTCTTAAGACTCTGACTATCTGGAACGCCCCGAGGTAGTCCATCGAGGTTTCCTTGAACTTTTCCGACCGCCTGAAATGATGAAATATCGAATCAGTGCAAGCAAATGCAACAGACAGAATGTCCACCCAGTTCATGATTGACTTGAAGAATCGGATGATGCTAGGGCACGTCAACAGTCTCAGGAGGAGCTCCAGCAAAAAGAACAATGTGAGTGATACCCCGATAATGTCGAATACCTCATTCTCTAAAAACACATTCGCAGGAAGTGTAAAGTTGTGCATGAGTTCCTTGGTAGTTTGATTGTGTTTTTCAAGGATTTCATTGACTTCAGCAGAACTGGAACTCGTCAGGACTCGTATCCGGTCTTCATGTTCTTGGAACTGAGAGCCGTAGTACTCCTTCCACAATTCAAGTGTCATGCCTTGCTTGAATGAATCCATGGACTGTAAAAACACCACCAGCACTGACAGGATCACCATCAGCGAGGACACGGCGAAATATATCTGAAAGTATCAAAGTGACTGTAACATCTATCTGTTAAAAGTGGTCGTGACATACTAACCGTAATGAACTCCTTTATCGTCGTTTTATCTTGAAAACATTGGAATTTGACTTCACGTTACAGTTAAAGAGTGAGTGAGTATTGTTTTAGGCCCCGTTGTAGTAATATTCCTAGAATATCAAGGCGGGGGACATCAGGAATGGGCTTCACACACTGAACCCATATGAGGAATCGAACCGGGGTCTTCAGTTTGGCGAGCGGACACATTAACCATTAAGCTATCTCACAGCCCATCTAGGTAGGGTTGTATAGATGCACGTCACCTTCTTTTAGGAGAACAGTCACAAGATGGCCCAGCTCGAGGTCTCGTAGGATAAAGCAAAGCGCAAAGAATACCCACTCGTGACCGTCAATGTGTGATTTCACGTAAAAATGTAACGATGAAATGTCGATTATATAATAATTTAATGAGACTGCCCAACACCTTGTCAGTGGATGTCCAGCGTTGGCACAGGCACAGTATCTTAAGCGACACAATGGCGTTGCTATGTCTATTTACTACCGTCTTCACCGTGCCTTTAGGTTTGACCCCAAGGTCCATCCATGGTACGACCCTGAATATGTTCAGGGCATCACGGAAAATGACAATTACAAAATTCGTTGGAAAAGACCCATATACAGCCTAAGACAAATCCTGCCTACAAACTTGGTCTTGTATTTTTTTAGGAAACCAGTGAATTTATTTCTATGATTTTCTTCCCCTTGTTAACAGCAATGTGATTGGAAAGGTTCAGGAAAAGCATAGAAATTGTTCTGGGTACGTATAGGTTAATCACCCATACAAACAGGCTAAAGCCCTCGCAGAGTTTATTTAAAAAACTACCGTAGTGAGGGTGATTAAACGGCTTACACCACGAGGGCATACTTATTTAATACGCGTGTAATGTATTAGGCATGATGACGATTATCAAAATAAGTACAATTGTTCTGTTTTTAGATAGAAATAATTGCCCGAGGGCAGCTAATCAGTTATGCTAATAAAACACTTCCAAGAACAATGGACATAACTTTCCCTAGTGGTTTAACCTTGGTCTAGGAGTCTCTATTCTTCAGAAATGTTCTTAGTGGGTTCGACTTGGTATTCACAGTCTGGGCTGCCCGCAGAGGGGCGAGGGCCCTGAGCTGATGATGAGCATAACGAGCCTGACTGTGCCAGGATCACCCGAACCCATTTTGTTGCAATTTATTTTAAATCTATAAATATAATAATAGTAACTAATGCTCCCGGTACATACCGAGAATAAAAAGTTAAGCGCCAGCTTATTTCAAAACTAAGATGTGAAGCTGTGGAAATGTTAGACTAACATAATTGGGAAGACCAATCCATATTTAGAGAAGGTTCATCTGGTAACTGATTTAGGGATATCATAAACATTTGTATTTACATTTAAAGGAAATATTGTTAAAGATATGATGGCACTGCTTTTTAAAGCAAAATAACTATTCCTATTCTGCTCATACAATAGTATTAAACGTAGGTTTCACTTGTCAAAAATGACAATCATGTGACCATATAACAGTCATTTCTGAGTTTCACTTTTCAAAAGAAGGTAACCTTTTTGAGGAAAGCAAAATGCATACATCCTGTTTATAGTAAAAGATAATTTCCATAATGGTTTTGTTTTTAAACTAAAAGTACTAAACCAAATTATGATAGTTGTTTTTTTTCTGAAAGATTTCCTATGAGACAACCTGTATTGGCAATATATACTTTTTATTCACAGTATACTATTTGCCAAATTTATGTGAGGTATATGTACAATAAGCTTTATATCTTACATCTATTGGTTTTTATAAGTGGTAGTATCTTAAAAGTCATGTCATCTTCATAGCATTGTGAAAATGTCTTACACGAGCAGGAATGGAAGAAAACGGGTGATCCAAGATACTCCAGATACGTCGCTTCGCGTTTGCAAAACGGGTTCCGGGTAACTGGCAACAGCTGCTAGCGTTGAAAGTGTCATTATCATCCTTCATTGACCTTTCGAAAGATTCTAAGTCCTTTTGAAGTTTGTTGAATTTGGTTAGGTTTCTTTTGCAACAAGGTTCAAGATCATTTGCAGCGAGACCCCAGAATTCCAGTTCTTCCTGTTAAATATAAAAAATACACAATCTGCTTTTTACATGTGTAGATGTGATTCATACATGTGAAAATACATCCTGAGTTGAATTTGTAACAAACGACATGTGTACAGTCTGACAAAGACGAACCTGCCCACAGACGAACACAACCCTTTTACTTCTCTGTACAGCCCAAAGACACAGAAAAACTGGTGCATGCAGGTGCCCTGTGTGATGGTACCTTAGAACAGACCTAAACGCACACGTGTACACGCTTCACTTCTCTGTACAGCCCAAAGATAAGATGGTACATGCAGGTGACTGGTTTGATGGTACCTTAGAACAGAACTAAATAGGGTTCACTTATCAGTACAGCCCAAAGACACAGAGAAGCTGGTGCATGAAGGTGCCCTGTGTAACGGTACCTTAGAACAGAGCTAAACACACGTACACGCGCTTCACGTATTTGTACAGCTCTGACACACTTAGAAGCTGGTACATTCCGGTGCCTGGTCTTATATATGGTACCAAAACAGATTTGAACAGACATGTACACACGCCTTCACTCAGACGTACACAACCCTTCCACCTACCTGTACAGCTCCGAGACACATAGAAGATGGTAGATGCAGGTGCCCTGTCTGATGGTATCCAAGGACGGACTTAAACACAGCTGCGGGTCTCTGGAAGAAAACCTCCTTCTGTGTAGATGACGTCAGTCGCCCTAGAGTAGAATCAGGGAACCTGGACAAAACATCTCGTCCGATCTCGAACCTACGTCCGCTCACGTTGACGGTGATAATGTCCGCCATGATTTGATGAACTGCACAGTCCTGCTCTATTTGCGTTTGTCCTTAGGGTTGATGGTTTCGAACACCTGTTCGTCTGGACAGAAACTCAATTCCTATAGATGGAACCCGCCACCAAGACTGGTTCCATGTGTGTATCAGTTTCTATTGACGATCGATCGTGACGCAGCAGAAATATAAAACAATCTAACTAAAATACTACTGTTCGATTACATTGTCATCTCGTCTTTCACTCACAAACACAGTACCAATTATTACAACGTTTGTCAGCATCGGATTATATACGGGCAAAGGCGGATGTTTCTCGTGGGTCCGTTGCCATCGGTTGAGGTTCTCTTCTGTTTACACTGACAAAACCGCTTGCTTTTGAACTGTGTCGTTTAATTATTGATGGGTTTAAGAAACTTCAGTATAATACCATTCAGTCTCTTTTCACGTCAATTGTTTTTGACGAAGTGCTACAGTGGATTCATAGTCAAAGACAGTGTTCAAAATGTATTAATAATTACCTTCGTTCTCATGTTGGCTTTTCAACAAAGAAAAATATTTCCGTGGTCGATAACTATTTAGCCTTGATGAAGTAGAATATCGATCACATTCTGTTAAGCATATACCGAGAATGTAACAAAGCGGAGACGTGACGACCCAGGTATCATGTGCTTAAATGATTTATAAATGAGGCCCGTGCGGATAGCAATACGAACAATGCAAAATAGAGCATAATGCTTCGTTAACAAGGTAATGCAATGTGTGTATTTTGACATAAGTACAAAGAGTGAGTGAGTGAGTATGGGTGAGTGAGTGAGTGGGTATGGGTGAGTGAGTGAGTGGAGTTATACGCCGCTTTTAGCACTATCGCAGAGGGGGACACCAAAAATAATCTTAACGCATTGTACCCGTCTTCAGCATGATAAGCGAATGCTTTAACCACATGGCTACCCACCGTCCTATTATCTACGGTTATAACGAACTCAAAGGGCCACTTGTCATAGTTCGTTTTAATCGTGGTTCGTTATACGGGATTCGACTAAATATTTATAAGTCCCAGAGACACCGAAGAAGTTCGTTATATCCCTCTGTTTGTTATTTCGATACGTTATGGATTTCGTTTCCTCGCTAATTAGCATTTGTGCTGTATGACGGCTGTCGACGGAGTGTCCAGTGATTGATATTTTGGTCAATGGACGAAGCCTTCACGTTACACACTCTTTCGAATACCTACGTCGCCTGATGCTCGTAAAATTCGAAATATATCCTTGAAGGTGCCTGTTCATTCACGTTTCAACATCATCAAAAATGTATTACGTATGAAGACCCAAGGCCCATATATATATTGTAAACAGGTATGAAGGCGTGAACGAAAAGAGGAAACAATTACTTAAAACTTCATAGCATCATCTTACACCCCCTGTGAAAAATATCAGTAACACACACACAAATATCAGTAACACATATATATATATATATATATATATATATATATATACATATATATATATATATATATATATATATATATATATATATATATATATATATATATATATAGCTGTACTGCAGCTTTTAGAATTTTAATACTTATTTCTATTCTAACTTTTCTCTCATTTTGTATGCATAATAGATAAAACGAGCTAGATTGTTTATGTCTTCAGTTTTGTGTGATGTGTTATATTTAGACTTGCGCTATATTTGGACAAGGTACACAATTTCCAAATAAGAACAAGGATAGGTTACACAAAAAAGTTGTTCTCAACCAGGGAGGCGGCCGCGGGATAGGCATGTGGTTAAAGAGTCCGCTCGTCACGCCGAAGACACGGGTTCGATTCCCCACATGGGTACTGTGTGTGAAACTCATTTCTGGTGTCCCCCGACGTGATATTGCTGAAATATTGCTAAAAGCAGCGTAAAACCAAATACTCCCGATCTTCATAACTAGAACTGCGTTGTGTTTAGCGAGAACAATTGTGTGGTGTGATGTTGAACAAGTGTTCTGTGCTTGGAAGCTGTTCGCCTCGAAGTTTCAATTATCGATGTCAGGCCAATTGCAAGGAATAATTAGTCTTTTTATTGCATCAATAGGAAGCTGGTGTGTATATATACCCCACTATATATAATATAGTCCAAAGTATTGTCGAAAATTTGAGAAATTGTGCCTTTTACTCTAAGAACCATGCATGACCAAGAGTACCTGGAACTCATAATAGTGGTTTATATTTGAATATCAAATGATCGTATTTTAATTAAATTAGTCCAAAAAGAACTACTGGTATATCAGTTATTGGTGTTGACAGAACGCATGCATTTCTCTCCTTAATAAACACATCCTACCTTCGGCAGCACTGAAATGTCCACTGTGTGTTTTACTAAAGCACTAATATCGCTTTAATGCTGTATGCCTGAATAAATAATGAACGACACAGACAAACACCGGAATTTTGACAATACGTATATGTCAGTTGTCGCAGCGTCGACTGTCTAGGAGGCAGACTCATGTTAACAGCCAACTAGCATCCACTGGTGATCAGTCTGCAACTATAAGTGATCACTGACACAGTTTCTATTCACGACTCATGTTCGACTATCAACTATTAAAAGTTTGTCGTTTTAGGTTAGGTGAGAACAAGATTGTGTAACGTTTGTTCGAGGGTAGTGTTCCTCATTATTTTGTTCATGATTAATGACACAAAGGAGACTGGCATCATGTCTATCTAGTTCATTTCCATTATGAAGTCACCTGGGACGAAAAGCTTTCATGAACTTGGTTTAAACATATTTTATTGTCCAAAAGACAACGGGATTAGGCACAAGTGCACCACTTATGATCGCCTTCTCCCTAAATACAATTAAACATATTACATAATACAATGTACAATTTACAGTGGAAGCTTGACATTGGGGAAGACATATGATTTCATGAACTTGTGCATGGTATGAATCTATGGTGCCTTACAAATTCATATTTCCGTTTCAGCTGTGAAGGTTTTGTCCTAAATTGTCCAGTTTCAAATGATATCGGTAAAATATAATGTGTGAATTTATTCCAAATCAATCATATTGAACACCCATTATGAAGATGAGTTAGGGATCGATTGCTGTTTTGAAAGCCGATTTTACGTACAGTTATTCATTTACTGTTAATCAATCAATAGATCAGGATTAGAATTAGCCTTCAGCAGCTTCAGCTTTCAAGTGTTTGTTGTTAGAAACGGTCAACGGGGTCGGTGGTCAGGCCAGCTGACTTGCTTGACACATGTCTTCATATCCCAGTTGCGTAGATCAATGTTCAGTCAATGATGATATCAATCATCGAATTGTTTGGTCCAGAGTCGACTAAAAAGACTGGGTGGAAGTCGCACTAACATGTTAGTGCATGTCATCATAACCCTGTAGATCGAAGCTAATTAAGTGTGTTGTCTGGTCTTGACATGAGGCTTTAAACAACAAACAACATACGATAAGGATGGGTAGCCGATGGCCATTTTCAACGTGAATGTTGACGGGTAAGCCTTATATTGAAACAGGCAGTGGTACACCAACAAACTGCCTTGTAGTGAGGCTTTAAAGAAAAAAGAAAGAAATAACATACGACAAAAATGGGTTGCCCAGGGCCAATTTTATCATGAATGTTGACGGGTAAGCCTTTTACTGAAACGGGCAGTGGTACACCAGCAAACTGCCTTGTAGTGAGGCTTTAAAGAAAAAAAAAATAACATAACAAATAACAATTTTATCATGAATGTTGACGGGTAAGCCTACTGGGTGGTACCCAGCAAACTGCCTTGTAGTGGTGGGCTTTAAAGAAAAGAAAGAAATAACATACGACAAATATTGGTAGCCCAGGACCAATTTTATCATGAATGTTGACGGGTAAGCCTTTTACTGAAACAAGCAATGAGACCCCAACAAACTGCCTTGTGGTGGAACAGACAATGTTAAATGATCATCACACATTCTGCATCAACACACATTCTGCATCAACACACATTCTGAGTGGCTGTTGGTGACTGTAGGGCACGGCAACCATTTTACAAATACATTATGTCGTCAGTGATTTGAGTGATCTAATTCATATACTTTTCATGCTGATTTGTCTTTTATAACCAGTGGAGTCTGTTTCTGTGGATGGTCGTGACAACGTATTCAACGTATGGAGTCAGATAGAACACAATCTACTGATGAGCATTGGTTTTGTTCATGGTAAATATGACACTTCCTTCCATCAGCGGCTGTAGCTTCTCACAGAAAAATCTCCTTCCTTCATCAGTCTTCAAAAAACGTCCAAACTTCAAAGGATGAAAGAAGTAATCGTCGGGTGTAAACAATTCCTGGAACCTGTACCTGTCCTCTCCAAATATCAACTTCCCAGGAATGTATTCAATATTCTCGCGACTATCCAATCCCTGCAGTATGGTAGGAATCCCCATTTCAACAATAACTCTGTGCTTCTTCAACAATGATGTGAGATACACAAACATCTCCTTCAGCCTATGGGGAACATAATAGAAGTCACATGTGGATCCAAACATCAGATCCAGTGATTTTCTGTTCCGAATATACATAGTGTAAAACCTATTAACCAGCTCAGCGCCTTCGGACCCTCTTTGAGATATGTCCTTCATTTCAAGAAGCATCTTCTCATAATGGTCCCTTCCTTCCACGTCCTTCCACCACCGCCAGGGAGTGATCAACACAGACCTGTTATATGGACTCAGTATACTACTAAACCATGCATTTTCTCGTGGCAGCTTATGGAGGTTCCATATTTGTAGAAAAGTGTCATCACCAATATGAAGATACCCTTTGACTCGGTAGTTTATCTTCATAGCATAGGAAACACAGTCGTACAAGAAATGCCATCCATCAAGTAGCCCTTCTAAATGGGATACTTCCTTACTGCTGGATCCAAGAAACGCGCCCATACTCGGACCACAGAAGAGTATATTGGGGAAGTATCTCCTATACACCGACTCTACGATCCATGTAGTCCAGTAAAGTTTCGGGTAGTTTATCTCCACAATCAGCAGCACATCGGTGAACAAGTACTTCGCGGGAGATCTGCTTCTCAGCGCTTCTTTAACCTCATCAGCTTCTGGGCAGACGGGCTTGTTGTCCCAGGGTGGCTTTGCTACCACGGACATTGACGTCAGATTGTATATCTTATGATTGTGTTGACTCGGGGTAAAGTACATCTTGGTACAGTTCATACCTTTAGAAAAGTGTTTCCCATCACTGAAATCCATTCGTCGAGTATCACGGAGGAGATTCATTAAGCGTAAATCATTTATCCATGTTTCCACCGCAGCAACGTTAGTTTTAGGTATGGAATGTTTATCCACAATAAACCGTACAAGACTATCGAAACATTCCAGTAAAGTTTTAGAGGAATCACATTTCCACTTCTGTAATTCCTTCACTAACATATTGACAGTATTCGATACTAATTTGTCTCTATTTTCAATCTTAAACCCTGGACTACTATTTCGCATTGCCGTAACTCCCATACTGCCAATATAATTACCAGTCTCCCATAGCAGCCTCTGAGACAAATAGCCTCGAATCACACCATCCAATACTGAATCTCCTGAAGACGGAAGAAGCATTAGCCAGAACGCTTTACGAGTAAAAAGTGTATTACCGGATGTGACTACAGAAAATCTTCCCGGAGGGAAAAATGCAGGGGGTGCCATTGCATCGAACTGAAGATCCAGAGTCTTTTCTCTGCTGATTTTTAGTACTTTTTGTCTCTGTTCATGGTAAAGAGGCGTTTCCCCACTAGCGATGCCTTGTTGTATTGGAGGTGTGGGGACGTAGCACAGATCAAACCGTTTAGATTGTGCCTCCTTAACAGATGTAGGAAATCCCATTGGATGCAAATACGGTTGACCAAAATGTTTGTAGTGGTGGAATGTGGTGTTGCCAGCATAGATAAGGCCATGAGTATGATCACTGTAGATGAAGTTGTCCATTGGAACAATGGGTTTGACGCCATATTCCAAATCGTAGATAACCTCCGCCGATTTCGACATTGCATAGAGGTAGGCTAGGTTCTTCAAGGGGTAGCCGTTTTCTCCGACGTGCTTCAATGAGGCGAACGGTAATGACTTGATATTTCCGGGGTGAACGTAGGTGCACCTTGGTTTCCTGAAATGGAAACCGGAAAATAACAACCAGAAAACCTGTATTAAAGCGTTACGGAAATTGCTCTCTTTTCACCAAGTGAGTGAGTTTAGTTTTACGCCGCACTCAGCATAGTCCAGCTATATGGCGGCGGTCTGTAAATAATCGAGTGTGGACCAGACAAACCAGTGATCAACAGGATGAGCATCTATCTATGCCATTGGGATACGATGACATGTGTCAACCAAGTCAGCGAGCCTGGCCGCCCGATCCCGTTTGTCAAGCATGGGTTACTGAAGATCAATTCTAACCCGAATATAAAAAACTAATTCAGGAAACAATTATTAAGAAGTCATTCTGTTTATGCATCTTAGCATAGAGTGAGTGAGTGAGTATGATTTTACGCCATTAGGATACCCAACCACCCTAGTAAAGTGTGAGTTAGGGACTGAATTGGAATCCCGTGACGTCTGTTTCAGCTAACACGGGATCTAATGGTCAGGCTGGATGACCTGGTTGATGATTGTCAGTTGAGTAGATCGTATTCTGACGTTAATCACTGGATTGTCTGGTTGGAATGATCACTTGGCTGAACGTACGTTTCTTAAACATTGCGTGATGTCATTTTCCTTTGTACAATCTATTGATAGTATTTTATTCCAAATAATATAATATTTTGTCTTGTCCTGAGTATTGTCTTTCATTTTGTCTGCAGAATGTGAATATCGGGACTGAAGAGTATATATAGCTACTAACACATGTTGAATAGCATAAATGTCCATTTTGTATTCCTTGAGTTGATGCTTCTAATCACAGACAGATCCAAAATACATGGTCCCTGTTTCACAATAGTGTACTTTTCAAATGCAAAAGATTCACATTATGAAGCGACAAATCTTTCAAACGACGGCACCCAACGTGTCTGGCCTGTAAGAGCCATGAAAGATCTGTTTTCCCGAGTGAGCGGGCATCCCATAGTGAACTACTTGAAAGAAATTGATATCAAAAATTGTAACCATATAATGTGTATGACAAACTCCTTGCTTTTAAATTTCTTACTATGACTTTTATGTTCGTAAATAATAATTTAATGAATATATATATGTATTTTAAGAAACTCCTTTATACTGTGTACTGAAAATGTGTATGTGTGCAGATGTGGTCTCGTCGCTATATGGCTGAAGTAATGCTGATGCGGTGTAAACTTTTAACTCACTCACTCACAAAAGTGGGCCTGAAGAAAGCCATTTGACGTACACCGTAAACGAGTACATGGCTGAAATCTATTTCAACCATTTTACAACATAAATAATCACACCATTTGGCGCAATATAACACCGTAATTGTCTGAATCAAACCCACACAACGCCTCGTACTCGACACCTCCCTGCCTCAGCGGAATATCGAGTCCGACGTTCAACATTACTTACCGGCAACCATCCAGGTATCGCTGGGTACCTGATACCACTATATTCCAGCCTGTGACGTCATCAAGGTAAGACACGTTGGTCTGATGGACAGAGTCGACAGACAGAACAATCCATCGGCCACTGTTACGGGTGGAAGAAGAACACGTGTTTAGACAATAATTATATGGTAATCATACAGTTCAACCTCTACACTTATTTTACATGAGAACCTAGTAATACCGGACGTGTCGTAAAAAGTTATATTTTGCAGGTTTGATTAGTTCATGATTTTCGAAGATTTAAGTAATCACGGTTTTCGCTTTTTAGTATAATCGCGCCCATAATGCCTTGTGTACAAATACGTAAACTTCATTGTATATATAAGTATTATGATACATAAACGCATGTTCGCAGTGAGCTCAAAATATGTAGCAAAACACAACCACGTGCTCAAGGTGAACAGAGTGTTTAGATCAGTCAGGAGGCATACGTGAATTGAAGGTTTCAAGTCTCTCTCTATCAGTATCAGTGTGGAAATCTCTCTCTCCCTCCCTCTCTCAATCTCCCTTTCTATCCCCATTCCTCTCTCTATCCCTCTCTCTATTCATGTCTATCCCTCTCTCTCCTCTACCCCTCTCTTTTAACCCTCTCTGTCCCTCTCTTTCTACCTCTCTCTCTATCCCTCTCTCTCTATCCCTCTCTCTCTATCCCTCTCTCTCTCTCTCTCTCTCTCTGTCTCTGTAAATGCATATAGATTTGGGCGGCTTCATGGTCAACTATGCTGTTAACAAACTGCTGGTACTGTCGATGGCAAATAGCGGTTATTCAACCGGGCATATGTCTAATACTCATATCTTTATTTCAGTCTTTAAAATAATCTGACCATATTTACCCCTTGCTTCTGAATCGGGTATGCCTGCGGTTTACATAGGGCCGTGCCAAGTCGGTATCTCGAAAGAGTAGTTTGTAGTTCCAGCTGACCATGATAAACAGGAGAGTGACGCCCGTGACCAGCAGAGCAAAGAACAACCTCTTCTTTCTCATAGTGAACAAGACCTGGAATTAAAATACACAGCAATAAACCAAAATGTGGAGGGAAGATCAGACAAGCAGACAGACAGGCAGTTTTTTCTTTAATTATCGCCCCACGGTCCATGCTACAAGCATAAGACGATGAAAACTTTTGGTGCGCATATAAAATGCAGCTATAACTAAAGGGACATAACTCGAGGACATCCAGCCATTGTAAAATATTCATATCGTACAGAACAGAGCGTTTATCCATATTGTGCAGAACAGTGCCGTTCTCCATATTGTGTAGACAGAGCGTTTATCCATATTGAATAGAACAAAGGGTTTGTCCATATTGTACAAAAAAAAGTGTTTCTAAAACATATTTCTAAAATGGCTGACACCTGTAAGACTCTTCTGCACAATCTATTTGTACTAGCAACGACGCAAATTATATTCTTCCTTTTGTCCATTTTGTTGATAAACGGATCTGTGTACTTGTTTCTTAGTTCTTAATACATAATGTAGGGGCGGTGGGGTAGCCTAGTGGTTAAAGCGTTCGCTCGTCACGCCGAAGACCCGGGTTCTATTCCCCACATGGGTACAATGTGTAAAGCCCATTTCTGGTATCCATACAGTACAGAACACAGCATTTATACACATTGTACAGAACAGAGCGTTTATCAATTTTGTACAAAACAAAGCATTCGTTTCAAAGTAAATTTCTAAGATGTCTGACACCTTTAAGAAAGCAACGTAGACTCCCCCCGTACGATCTATTTGTACTAGCAACGACGCAAATTATATTCTGTGTACTTGTATCTTAGCTCTTAATACATGTTGTAGGGTTGGTGGGGTAGCCTAGTGGTTAAAGCGTTCGCTCGTCACGCCGAAGACCCGGGTTCTATTCCCCACATGGGTACAATGTAAAGCCCATTTCTGGTATCCATACAGTACAGAGCACAGCATTTATCCACATTGTACAGAACAGAGCGTTTATCAATTTTGTACAAAACAAAGCATTCGTTTCAAAGTAAATTTCTAAGATGTCTGACACCTTTAGGAAAGCAACGTAGACTCCCCCTGTACGATCTATTTGTACTAGCAACGACGCAAATTATATTCTGTGTACTTGTATCTTAGCTCTTAATACATGTTGTAGGGGCGGTGGGGTAGCCTAGTGGCTAAAGCGTTCGCTCGTCACGCCGAAGACCCGGGTTCTATTCCCCACATGGGTACAATGTGTAAAGCCCATTTCTGGTATCCATACAGTACAGAACACAGCATTTAACCACATTGTACAGAACAGAGCGTTTATCAATTTTGTACAAAACAAAGCATTCGTTTCAAAGTAAATTTCTAAGATGTCTGACACCTTTAAGAAAGCAACGTAGACTCCCCCCGTACGATCTATTTGTACTAGCAACGACGCAAATTATATTCTGTGTACTTGTATCTTAGCTCTTAATACATGTTGTAGGGGCGGTGGGGTAGCCTAGTGGTTAAAGCGTTCGCTCGTCACGCCGAAGACCCGGGTTCTATTCCCCACATGGGTACAATGTGTAAAGCCCATTTCTGGTATCCATACAGTACAGAACACAGCATTTATCCACATTGTACAGAACAGAGCGTTTATCAATTTTGTACAAAACAAAGCATTCGTTTCAAAGTAAATTTCTAAGATGTCTGACACCTTTAAGAAAGCAACGTAGACTCCCCCCGTACGATCTATTTGTACTAGCAACGACGCAAATTATATTCTGTGTACTTGTATCTTAGCTCTTAATACATGTTGTAGGGGCGGTGGGGTAGCCTAGTGGTTAAAGCGTTCGCTCGTCACGCCGAAGACCCGGTATCTATTCCCCACATGGGTACAATGTGTAAAGCCCATTTCTGGTATCCATACAGTACAGAACACCGCATTTATCCACATTGTACAGAACAGAGCGTTTATCAATTTTGTACAAAACAAAGCATTCGTTTCAAAGTAAATTTCTAAGATGTCTGACACCTTTAAGAAAGCAACGTAGACTCCCCCCGTACGATCTATTTGTACTAGCAACGACGCAAATTATATTCTGTGTACTTGTATCTTAGCTCTTAATATATGTTGTAGGGGCGGCGGCGTAGCCTAGTGGTTAAAGCGTTCGCTCGTCCCGTCGAAGACCCGGGTTCGATTCAAATGATACATGAATTAATTTTCCATTTTACTTCAATCAAATCTTTTCCATGTAACTTACAGTAGGAACTGCTCGTGTGGTGAAATTGACATGAACTTTCAACATGCATGCAAATGATACAACAGCAATTTCATGCAATTCAACAATTCAACGATATAAAATGTACTTGCATAGACAGGGAGAGATAACGTGCTACATTTTAATGCTTGTAGTTGACAAGGTATTGAAAGGCATTTAGAAGTTGGACGAACATGAATACATGACACGTTTTATGGATACAAAGTTTTTATTATTTTCTCACGACGTTTCAGGGCTATTTCTTGCTCCACATTCCCCATTCACCTGATAAAAGAGCAAGAATTAGCTCTGAAACGTCGTGAGAAAATAATTAAAACTTGGTATCCATAAGACGTGTCAAGTTATTTGAGAAGGTTGAGAAGAATGAGAAGGCTGGTGACGGATAAAGGCCAGGTTTGTTTCAGAGTATCAGACAGTCTCAGATCACAGATATCAATGGAGTACCTGCAGTCGCTGATATAGTAAGCAAGGGAGAAAACAGCTATTTTAATGTAAGCAGCCCGTATCATATTCCACACTTCTGATCCATCACAAAGCACAAGCAAGTTCAGAGTTTTTGAAAACGTCACTTTGTTCGTATTAAGATTAACCCTCATTCTAGTTCGTTCACACAATAATTCTACAGCACGACAGTATCATTTTCTCCGGGGCTGTGTTTGCAACACCTGACACATGATCTGTAAACTTCAAGGCAAATAGAGGGTCCATACTGATACAGAATGAACACCCCCTCGGCGAGTTTCTTCATCAGTTTTAATTACTCGTTTTACATTTATATCTGTGATATCCTAGTTTTTTACTGTCTTTCGTTGACAGGATTTTATACTCTATCTTTAATTGTTAATATATATGTTGTTTTAGTCACAATATGGCTGAAATATTGCCAAAGTGACTTTAAATTTTAACTCACTCACTCACCAGTTTTAATAATCTTGGTAATAGCTGAGGACTCAAGACACAACCCTGTCGTGTACCAGTACTCCTGTTGAATGTTGATGCAATGTCTACTGTTGGACTAACACATGATGTAAGCTAATTGTGTATTCGGCATTGTCGAAGTTAATGACAAATTGAAGCATACGAGTTTATAGATACTAGCTTAATTATGGTGTGAGAATATTCGTCGAAACGAGGCAAATACAATGATAATGAAGTTGCTGTCAGTAAAGTCGCACCGGGTGCAGACATTGTACCCATGAGGGGAATCGAACCCAGGTCTTCAGCGTAACGAGCGGACGCTTTTACCCTTCGGCTATCCCACTGCCCCATGTTTGTCTAAAGACAGAAATAACTGTGTTCTTCATAAAGGAACACATATTACAAAGAGGCTGCAATTTCAAATTTGCATTTTGTCAGTAATCCATTAGAATTGCAAACACGAAATACCGCCTTGAATGAAATATGAAAACTAGCATCATGTTTTGTACATACGTCTTTCAGCAGGAGGTATTGTCATGTACAAGCTTTTAGCTCTGTCTCTGCAAGTGTATTGACAGCCTCGGTAAGGTTCAGTAAGGTCGGTGACAATTTTTGTCTCTCCCGTTTATACCGCAAACTGGGTCATGAATGAGACTTTGTTGCAGTGAATACCCAAGCCCTCCTATCATGAGTTGTATGCTTGGTTGAGGCCCCGACCGAGTATACGTCAGAAGGAATACACCTTATTATGAACATGTTGTTTTAAGGGATATTCCAGTCACCAGACTCAATGGTGAGCATTAATTAGTGAGAACAATAACCGACTACAAGATGAATTAAAATTATTTGTACGGGAAACAACAGAAGACTAACCGAAATCCAAGTGGTTGCCATCTGCAATTACGTAAAGCAGTTTGTCATGCTGTAGTGATCCTTGAAACACAACATTAACACTTTATCCTCTGAAGTAGTGAAACCCCATCACTAAAAGTGAATTGTGTTAAACGACACGACGGGTAGTATTTAACATTCACTTGCTTACGACACGTCTCCATAGTGATAGAGGAAATCTTAATCCGGCTTAATTATAAAACCTCCTATAAGTACTTGATTTTCTTTTACGATCGGGTTTTTCACAACGCGCTCAGCAAAATTACAGCTATATGGTGGAGACCTGTAAACACTCGAGTCTGTTCCAAACAGTTCGGGGAGATGGGATAGCCTAGTGGTTAAAACCTTCGCTCGTCACGCCGAAGACCCGAGTTCGTTTTTCCACATGGGTACAATGTGTGAAGTCCATTTCTTGTGTTGTACCATTCGACAACTGGTTCTCCGGTATTTTTCAAACGTACACACACACACACCGATGACAACACATACAGACACGGAAATAATTCAATATTCATCTTCTATATATAGAACAAGACTCTATTCCAAGCATGCTCAGTGCGCGTGACATTTTACAACATAAACGGATGAGTGTGCATTTAAATGTTGTCCGCGTTAAAGGTTATAGTTATTTACTTTATTTAGCGTCCTACGCACAACTAAGGTATTTCGGCGACGGGGTAGTATACTTATTGAGAAATGATGGGGAACAATAAATAGAAATTTTGAAAGAATTGTGTTACTACCCCCCAAAACATAGAAACGTAGTATTAAGGACAATTTAAATGGAAGTCCGAATTAAAATAGTAAGGAAAAATATGAAATAAGTAAAGAGTAATAGAGATTTGGAATTTAATATAGATGTAGTATAATAAATGGTTATTGTTATTGTTTGAGGACAGGAACTTGTTAGTATGTTTATAAACATATTTATTTAGTGAATAATGATGAACATATAATAGGTTAAAAAATGAAGTTA